GGTTACCACTACATGTTCTCAAGGTTATCGATGCGCCTGTGACAAGGCGCACCGTCATTATCGTTAGAGGAATGTCGCGCTCAACAAACTTGAGCCTACGACTCTCTAACGGCTGGCGACGAACAAAGTTGTTCGACGCCTCACAGTCAACTAGATCACGAAGCGGCAAATTCTTTGTCACTTGCAACTTCAAGGTGTGAGTGTCAATTAATCATCAGGTGTAGAGACACACAACGATTGCATATCTGGAGCAACTTTGTCAAGAAAATTGCAAATTCTCGTTAGGTTGCTGAATTAGTAGGGCGCTCCGCCCCTACTGACCCCGGCCATTCTTGATGGTCCGCTTCGCAGTTGCGGTTCCTAAACAGCGATGGGCCTACTCCCATTGCCCTTTTTCGTAAATGGTCGTTCATTTCGATCAGTACTGTTTGATACTGGGCGTGGAGCACTACACTCTTAAGTGTAGATTCCTAACTTCTGACAACGATTGCACTTCTGCAATCGCTTGTCGATTGAAGATCGAAGTCTCTCGCTCTCAACATAACAGAGGTTCATTGATTCTAAACATCTAGTCTCTTGTCGCCTAGTAGGACAATTAGAGCTCGAGCTAGCATGATCCTGTCTCATTCTAAAGTCATCCTATTCCGCAGCTGCGTTTGCTTGTTCAAGCTAATCCAACTCTAAACGGAACAGGTAGTTTCTGACGGGCCCATCTGCGAGCCCTTGCATGAACACAGTAATCAACGTGTGTTCATGTACCGGGTTAATAGTCGTACAACTAGCAAGGAGTCTTATATGCTGATCGTAAGCGTGCATATCACTCTTACCCTGCTTGAGTTTCAGGAGCTCTGACCGATCCCTGAACTTAGACCGAGGCGGTTCAATCCTCTGTTTGAGCCGGGTTTCGAAGGATTCAAGCGACTCAAAATTGTAAGGGTCGCTCATTTCCATCCCCAAGGCTTAAGTCTTGGTACGTCCTGTCAAGTGGGCTTGATTAAATGTGAGTTTCATTTTCTCATCGTCGATACGACGTGCCCGTATGTCTCTATCTAGTTGGACGGACCATAGCAACAGGGAGTCTTCCTCGACTCCTCTATACTTGGAGATATCGATCCTCAAGATTTCAGGACGACGCGTGTGTGTCGTCCCACCCACAGCAGCATTGAATTACTGCTGTCTCAACAGCTCTGTCTGTCGATCACCGATTTCTTTCAATTACTCGGCCTGTTTTGGGCTATGCTAATGAAACAAGGCTACATTTTCTATTTCGGCGACAAGTTCATTTTGAATGAATCTGGCTATTGCGAAATGTTGTTGGTCTCTGTCAAGGGACTTCAACATGGCGCTAACGGCGGTTTCGCCGGCGGTAGAGCTCATTCGTTTTACCGCCCTTCATTCGATGTCACTCACATGGTTAAAGCCTTCACGCGTGGCGTGAAAGCTCTCCTACTCATCAAACATGTTCATATGGGATGAGGTGGTTGTGGTCGCTGGACGGACTACAAAGTGCTACCAGATGTAACGGGGCACGCCTTGTGTCAATCTAACACGAAGCTGTGTGCACCCGACATCACGTACACGTGGCGAGGAAGCGCAGCGAAGTAGGCATAACTCGAAATCTCTGTCTAAGAGAAAAAGAAGAACTGCTATTTAGTATAGTCAAGCTTCTTACTAAATCATCTTTCGTCTTAATCTAACTACATTAAACTACCATCTACTATGTATGTCTCTTGCTCACAACCCATTGCGCGCGTCCAGCAGCGATCGGTGGTTAATTTGATTAATGTAGATGTTACATCAACCAAGAAGTGGAGCATCCACGAATATTACCATTGGGGGTAATATTCCGACAACATCACCTCTTCTCGAGTATCGCTGATTGAATATCATCAAAATAGATAATGCTCAAACATTGATTATTTTTATGAATTTCTATGTAACGAGCTTACCCCGTTACATTTCTTTCTAGCAGGTGTCGCAACCGAATAAAGACTGATCCAAACACAGCACTTTGGATGAGCGGAATGTCTCTCATTCATATAATTTTTCGTTTAACGTGACTGTATCGTGCCAGAAGTGGTGATGTAGACGAAAGCAAATTGCTGATGTATTTCCTTACAGCAACCAATTGCATGCGCTAAAACGGTACGAAACTTAATGGTAGGGTACTGACAAATTTCGCGTGGGCACGTATTTACGCATCTACATTGGTCCATTATACCGTCTCCCAATGAAAAGTCTGAAAGCAAAATGAAGTAGTCCATTATACCGTACGATTTGCAGATGTCTGATGTGAGAAGGCACTCAGCGTTGACTGCCTAATCAACATCATCCCACTGAGTAATTTTGGCATAAATTCAATTGCAATGCGATCATCTTCGTCGTCTTGGACAGATATTTTCCGAACATTACGATTTTTTGGTGATTTGAGCTTAAATGACTGAAAAAGTTGTTAAAAGCGTACACTAGACCATCTCTAGAACCACGTGGCAGCGCCAGCCAAAGGCAAAGCTTTATAACGAGCTGTAGTCGCACTTAACGATAAAACATACCGCAGAAGTGCTCACGAGGACAAGTTATCTTCCCCGGGCATTATTGAATCTGACTATGTGCAGCTTTCGTTGAGTTTAAGCCAGTCAGCTATATTAGCTCAAAGAGTCATTCGACTGGTACATGATATCATTTAAATACACCGCAGCAACCTTTTTCGGTCTTTTATGCAGTCCTATATACAAGCATTTGCCCAGACTGGCGAAATACGATGGCAAAAGGCTTTGTTTCCTTATCTTCACTTTTGTTTCTCGATAGAAGCTCAATTATTTAGCTCCTCAAGATTCCACATTCTCCTTTATAATACAGGAATATATGAAAACGTCGCGTTTTTTTCGACTAGCAATATCGCAGGGCAACGTGGAAATATGTGGAATGTGAAGAATGCTTCAACTGAACATTCGATTTTTTTATTGTGAGCCAACGATGTCGTCGAAGATAGTGTGAAGTCGATTCACTGGCAGATGTTTATATGTAGCTTGTATACACAACGACATTTGCTAGAGCGTAGTGGGTGATCGGCGACGGGTCTGTCCATCGATGTCGATTTGTCGTAAAAATATTGGGAGAAGGCGATAAGCTCTATGAACTCGACAACAGCTGTAAAAAGTAGCAGTGAGCAACAGCGGTACTCAAAAGCGCAAGTTTTTCCAAAGGTCAATTGTGGAAATATACTCGCGTGCTAAAATCTGTCATATCGGCTGTTTATTTAACACCAAAAACTACACTGAAACAAATACGGATACGCGAGCAAGCGAGCGATTTGCACAAGCAAGCCATTAATTCGCCATGCATTGGTCAATCGGTAGAGACCACGCGTTGCGCCAATGACGGAATCAGCGGTTTTGAATCATTTATATGGGAATTTTGGCATGCGACTTGAAGAGTCAAACAGTCAAGTGCGTATAGCCAGGTCTTCAGGCCGAGATATATATCAAATTCGGACACATCAACTTGAAGACCGGCGGTGCAGTCAAATCAGTCGTAAAGTCATCTTTTGAATTGACTTGTTAAACAGCTTAGGTGCTTGGTGTGAATTTTTGTAAGAGTATATGGTCAATTTTAATATTTTTAGAGGGGGCCGCTAATCACTACTCCCTTTTCGCTAACCACCACTCACCCTCCGTTTTAGAAAACCCTGCAATTTTCTCTCGAGCTGTAATTGGCTAAATGTAAATCATTAAAGTTTTGCATAAAGGAACGCAATTTATAAGCGAAACTATAAAGTCGTTTAAAAGAAGATATGTATTTAAACGCTTTTAAGGTTCTACTGTATTATGGTTGACTCTCCGCAAGCGCTACCATATTTAGGTACTTAGCATTTATCTTTGACCAAAGTGCATCAATTCGTCTTCAGGACTAAGAACATATATAGCCATATACAGTCACTGCGGGAGTTGGAAGAGGCGTCGATATCTTCTCTAATGTCCTCTTCTCCGCACTTACTGCTTCGACGCACAGGTCGCAAAGAATTCATCACAACGCTTAAACTGCGAAGGATCCCGCTGAGTAGGAATTGGCGAATGGGTTTCAGCAGTTGATGCCCCAGATCACCAATAGGAAGCCCGCGGTCAATTCGTACAGATGGATCGAAGACCTCCGCTATCAGTTGCATATCTAGATGATCAAGGATAGCTCGCTATCTGTACGAAATTCCCTCCTCCTCTTTTTATTGGATGCGCTTCATTGTCTCCCCGATTGATGTGGGGGTTCTGCATACATTACCTCTTGTCGAGAAGGCTGCACCAAGCACCAGTGTGAAGCAATAGGTCCACGCTGATGTAAGTGGTGTTTTAAACTTGAAGTTTGTGTAATACCACAGAGCGTTTGTTTTAACGCGAGCGAGATCAGTACTAGCATGTTCATTTCAAACTTTAATGAGTCAATCACAATATCATCAACTGAAGGGTGAGTGGTGGTTAGCGAAACGTGAGTGGTGAATACAGTAGCGGTTCCCTTTTAAATAGAAAATGGTCTTTTGATAAAAAATATTATTATTTCTCAATCTGCATCTTTTTACAGATATTTGCGGTGGTTGAGGTTCTTGTGACAGTGAATGTGCTATCCGGTATATAGTACACGTTTGAGCTGTGTAGTCACTGCACAAGTGGTTTGTAAGATGGCCTTGTCGATCAAAGGTTCGGACCATGAAGTGTACTCCTAAGAGCACAAAAACACTTTTTGCTAAAGCTACAGCTCCTTTCTGCACGCGTTTCATGCAGCCGCTCGTCCCTGCAATGTGACATAAAAAAGTTGAGTTACTTCTAAAGGAAACGATAGACACAGATTCAAGAAGGGGGATTTATGGGTCCATAGCAGAGCGGAGCGCCTGTTCATAGAAAGGTCTACTCCCGACAAAGGCCATTGGGTGGCTCTGCGAGTCGGACTATTATTGGTCATTCCAATATCAGCTCGTCCGCCTCCGAGGCACCTCGACCCCCAATCAAGCGATGCGCGTCCACCCGCCCTTCCTCCTGGCTGCTGCTACGATCGCGATGTGCACCCTGAGCGCTTCAGTGGTAATCGGCTCTGAGATGGCAAAAGCCGACCGCCAAACCACTAGACCTTCCCAGGTCGGTGGCCACAACACCGTCCACGACAATCAGCGGCTGCAAACTACCCATGCCACAGATGGCGAAGAAAGGGCGCCTTTACCAAGTGGAGCATCGTCGTCGCTCGAAGCGCAAGGAGAAAAGTTGACGATGCTGCTGGGAGAATTACAATCCGTCGCAAACAACGCGCCAGTTACAGGATCGCGGGCAGCACTACACGCATTGGCCGTCTCCCGTTTTGAGGCATTGGCCGTCCCCCGTTTTGAAGGATATGACTTAGTGAGTGAAACTTATCCTGGGCTGCACAAAAACGGAGCGAAAAAGTTCTTTCGAAACGTAGATGATTGCTACGTGGTGAAAACGATTCAATTGTTTGGAAAGACGATAACAGTCAGAGCACCAAAGGACCATGTAGTGGCTCGCGTGAGAGATCCTGATGCAGAAAAAGTTTTCGGGGAGTTCAAACAAGCCCATCCGTCTCCTGATTTGTTCCAACCAAGCACATTGGACCTCTTCGAGAACGTTGTTAAAATTTTCAACGCGCGTCATTCGAAAAAGTACACGTTACTGGACGCGCTTGTGATCGTGTATGAAGGTGAAGACAATCTGGCGCCTGCTTTGTCAAAAGCCAAGACGGTTGCAAGTAGTAAATATACTGCAGCAGATTTGCAGGAAGAGATGATGACGATTTGGATTCGCGAGAAGCGTTCTGCCGGTGATGTTTTCAATATATTGAAGCTCTATGAGCTGGAAGCAAGAGGCTTGGACCGCGAGAACCTTGAGACGTTTGACGCATTTCTCTATTTGCATCGCCGAATATTTTTTCACCACGTAAGGTATCGGCTCCAGTTGGATATGGTCGGATTTTTACGATACAAGTTTGGGGACACTAAGCTCTTGCAGATGATTGAGAAAGATATGGAGCGTTCCGCCTACCCCAAGGAGCTGATAAAAAGCTATGTAAAGTTGTTGCGGGATCACAAAATATCGTTCCGGGGCATTGTTGGCGTATTTATTGATGCGGGATTCGCGGATTCAACGGTGGTGGAATTGATGTCGGAAGGCTATGGTGGTGTAGCTAAGTTTGCGCAAGCGTTATCGAACGCTGAGGCCGATCGAAGACAATCGGGTTTCAAAGATAGAATTGAGAAATTGCAAGCAGCTCTCAAAGTATTCTTGCAAGAAGACAAGAAGAAATCGTCTGGTGATGTCAACAACTTGCTGGAGCCTTCCAATCACGCGGAAAGCAGCCGTCCTTCTCCATCTACTGACAAAGAGTCAGTCCGAAAGCGCCAGAAAACTAAATGATCTCCAGTCCGGCATTACGTCGAAAACGACAAAAAAGCTTTCCGAGTCGGCCTCGACAAGCGATTGGTAAAGCAATTTGATTGCGGACGGACAAGATGCTGAAGCCGTTGATGCGTAAGAGCTTAGAATGAGCCGTGGCTAGCTTTGCTTGCCTGTATAAGTCAAATGAAGACTTTCAACGAGAAATGCAACACTGACTATTGTTTGACGTCGCCTCTAGGTCACAATGCCCACTTGTGTCTACTCGAAGCTTATAGAGTAAACTTTAATGGACAATCTGTCTTGTTTATTTTAATAGCGAACCAATCATAACATCGTTTCTCTTTTAGATTCGTCAGTGATGCGCTGTAATGCAAGTATGCCTTCCTACACCAGCAGTTGATGGCTAGAAGATAATTCGAATTGCCATGACGTAAGGTGTGTGTGCTATTCTACAAAAACTTGGCTGTCTGTAACAATGTCAGCGAGTATGATAAGATGCTGCAACAAATTGCAGTCGCCATGGAAATTGACATTTATCAAGCTATGATGTACTTTATCCGAAGCATGCCTGGAGGTGCTGCAAGCGAGGTGGCCTTGAGCTCGTTCACAAGCGCGCGTACAAGTAAAGTTTATGATTCTACAAGAAAAAATAGTGCTTCGATAGTTGGTGCTTCCTCTACCGCTTCGGGTTGATGGACAATCGTGATGAGTGGAAAAGCTCTCGCCTAAAATTATACGCAGTGTGGACAATTGCGGTCTGTGAGCACGATGGATATCCAGGGTACAGGTAAAACTTGCAATCGGCCATGAGATGTTTCACGGCCGACTCTATCTAAGCAAAAAGACCCTCTTCCTGCAAACGCATAGGCATAGAGCTGGGAAACAGCAGACATGCTGCGCGGCAATTGGCACACACGGCTAGCTTTCGAACGACATCCGTATTGGTTGTATTGATGCAAGCTTGAAGTAGCGAGCAAGACGACATTGCGTTCAGTACGGACTACTGCTTTACATAAAATGTATAGCTCCGTCACGTGACAGACACGGATTACGATATTTACGTCCAACCTTAACCAGGACGGGTATTTCATCGCACTTCAAAAAACTGGTCGACTCGTTCCTGCTTACCTTGGCTTACACTTACGGCAAGCTTCAATCAACCTTGCTCACAAGATGTTTCGTTTTCACTTTAAACGGTGCTTTCTATACCATGACAATAAGAAGGAGATGTAGGTCCATCAAAGCAGCTCATGCTCATTATTTTGATCACGTCTATTTCGGTTTCTCTGTCCAGGTATCACAACATGTGTAGAGACTTGCGGTCAGTGACGGCCTCATAGCTGTTGACATCACGTTACGGTACTGCCCGGCGTACTTAAGTACAGAATGACATACGTGACGGTTGTGGGCGTAAACAAGACTCATAGAATCGTGATCGTGGGCCGAAGTTGACTGCTCGAGTTGACTTTCGTCACTACAACGACAATTATGCGCATCTCGACACCTCTTTTGCATTTTCGTGGATATGGCACACTAGCTGCGCGACACAGGTGTTGTAGCGTATAATCAGCCCATATATAGTGTCATGGGTACTACCGGTAGCTATGGTCTCTTGGCGTTATCGCGCAGATAGTCGTAGGTATCCATACTCTTTCAATGCTGCCACTGCGCTCCCCGTTTATTCTTTTCAGGTCGTATCGTAAGCATCCCGACCGACGCAGATAATAAGAGGGATAGCACCGATAAAGAGCGATGCAGCTCTGCCAAGGGATCCAGTCCACAGCTTTATCTTCGTTCATTCATGAGCCACAAAACGAGCTGTTGCTGATAGCGACGTCGGACAAGCTTGGCGCTCATTAGCGTTGCGCTCGGACGGGACGATCTACACTAGATCAGTCCTATTTTCGCTCATCGATCGAGCTGCAGCACGAATCTTTCGTGAGTGGTCTGAGCTTCGTTGCGACTGTGCAACATCTGCACTTGTTGTCTGCCTCAAAAAGACATTCATCCGACAAGTCTGGGGCTGGTTTCGCGTCAGAGCCACTTTGAGCTACCTCAGCGGTCCCACTTCGCAGCGTTTAGCCGTCCATCGTCGCGTCTGCACACACGGGTGACAACGGTTGTGTTTTTATTTCAACAGCTCTGATAACAATTTGCCGCAACTCGTTCAATGGTCACGCCAGAAATCAGACGCGCCCATGGGTTGCACTGCTCTGGCCTAAATGGCCGTATGAACAGTCTATCCATCTTGTAGTTTTGTTGATGGTAGACGGCTGGTACGCCGTTTGCATGGCAACTCGACTGTCATGTTCGTCGACCAATTGCAAGAAGCGCTCCTTGTCGGCAACTTCGATAAAGGCTGAAGCCATTGCTAGAGCTGTAGTCGAGTTGGCGACTCATGCATGTTACGGACCGCTTTTACTTCGATTGGTATCCGTTTTGACCCTTTTCGAGCGCGACTTGATTGCCCAACATAACTCCACCCAGCCGTGTCAATGCGTCATTATGAGCGTCTCGCGAGGACATCAGTCGGTCCCTCGACTGTGCACGACAGCACGAACACGATGGTGTATCCGTGGGCAATGTCGCTATTGTTTATCGAGATCGATCGTTCTACTGTCTCGTTACGGCGTTGTTAAAGACGTGCTTAAAAGTTGCGGTACGCGTCGCAGAAGCGTCTCACCAGCCCCGTGGACCGTCACGTATTGTCTTCCAGACTCCCTCTCTTCACGATTCCACGAGTGCACGACAGAGAATACGGTACGGCCAAAGCCACCGCCACAAAAGTGCCCCTTGGTCGGGTAGGGTTCGGGGCACTTCTGGCTCGGACAATTCTATTCACCCTCAGCGTTGGGAGCTCATTCAATGCCAGAATGGCATTTCATGGGTTTTCGACGGGGAACCGCCGCGGGTCCAAGGAAAAACGCAGGAAATCACCCAACTCGCGGAGTGCAGGCTCATCCGAAATAAGGTCGTCTTTTTTTCCAACCCACAGGTCCACCGCTTTCCATGGTCCGCTCCGCTAACGGTTCCCAATCATCACGTCTTCTCGTTCCTGAAACGGCAAGCTTTCAAGTCGGCCAAGCGGTGTCTTGCGACACCGCTGAAGCAGGTCATTGATAGACTGGGCACCAAGAGCCAGCATAACCGTTGGCAACGCGCAGCTCTCGATGTCTCGCCGGCTCATCTATGGGGTCACGGACACGCGGTGACGGAATATCAGCTATGGACACGATACCGCCACGCTACCGGTCAGCTAAACTTTTGGTATCAGGACCGGCCTCCGGACGGGTCTTGCACGTATCGAGAATGTGTCGGACAGAAGGAGACCCAGGAGCATCTCTTTTGGGAATGTACCCGTGCACAGGCAATCTGGGCACGGCTCATCAGTCATTGGGAGAGCACACCTCATAAGCCTCACCATATACTGGATTGGCTCGAGCACTGCGCAAACTGTAGAGTACCACGCATTTCGCCGCAGGTCACGGCAATGCTGTTAGTCAGATACCCAGACGACATCGATCAATTCGCCACGGCCTGGAGGACGATCTGGGAGGTCGCAGGGACCGTCATCATCACAATGCTCTGGCAACACCGCGTGGACAGAGTTTTTCACAATGCGAAAATCCCGATGCAAGCCAGTGAAGCCATGATTTGGGGGAGGATTCAGCTTCAATTGCGGGCGCTCATCAAACGTCTCCATTGCAGGGCTGACACGGCCGTGCGTGGCGCCCAACTTTCTGCATGTTACGACATATTTATATCAGAACCGAGAGGGCAGCCCGGCTTTCATAGCCAGGCTGCCAGCCGTAGGCAATGCCTGGACCCTCCAGCGTTGCTAGTGTGGTTAACAACCTACCAGAGATCTTGCACTAACCAGTAAATAGACAATCTGTTCTCTCTCACAAAAGTGCCCCTTGGAGTCGCTAGACGCGCATAGTTTGTATACGTTCCTGCAAGACATGCAGGCGCATGCGTACTTTCTTCATCATGCTCAAGGCGTGAACGATGCAATCGCACGTTTTCAATTCGGGTGACTCGGATTCCTTCGTCTGAGCTACGCCAATTTCTCTAGAACATGCTCGTGGTTGCCGTGCTCGCTCTACTTACAATGTCCTCGTGCAGTTTGATCACAAGCGATTGCGTTTGAGCTGACGTGCATTGCACGCGATACAGTGATCGATACAGCCCCCAGTGGGATGGTACAGGAGCGGAAGACGGCGATTTCAACAGCCTCGCGAGAGGGATAGTGATAACGTCAATGGCACTGGCACCCGCGGCAGTATCTGTCGGCACTCACGTACGTCAGTCGACACGACCGTAGCTCACAAAGGACAGCATCTAGCTCCTCTAACGGTACACAAAACTGGAAGCAGTAGGAGATAGAGAGCGTGCAGCGAAGCAAAAGGGAGGGCGTTTGGTTACTGCAGTAAGCGGCAGCGGTGCAAACCAACGGCCACCATTGCCACGCATCGCGTTTCTCTGTCGTCAACATAGCACGTCGATCGCCTCTCGCATCACTCGGCGTCAAGCTGCTGGGCAACGTCAGTACCATTCGGATGCATATCTTGTCGACAAATGGCATGCAAAACCATCGGTCGACCTCGACTCGAAGCAGAGCAAATGGGTACCAGAAGTGACGTCGTAGCGCAGCATCTGCGCATCTGCGACAACTAGGAAGACGACTTGTCCCGGTGGTTGCTCGCCGTCTTGTCGAGCGTCAGCTTGACATAAACAGCAGCGCAAGTGTCGCCCACGACGACACTCGGTGGACAGCAAAAAACAATGTCCGACTATGTGCGTGCTGACTGGTGCGAAAAAACGCTGCGACGGACCTGGTGCGACGTGCGTGCAGTCAGCACTTAATGTGTCCGTCAGTGCGTCCGTCAACACGACTGCGCTTCTAAAAACGAGCACCGGCTCGCGGTCGATATTGGGTACCAGCAACGGCGACGATTACTCAATGATTACACCCGCCGGACTGCTTCTCGTGCAAAAGCGACGCGTAGTGTCTCCTCTTTCACTCTCGCTCGCGGTCCCTCTGTCTTTCTCGCTCGCTGCCTCTCGATAGCTGTGTTTACTGCAGAGCGTGGGGTCCCACTTGCACTGCGTTCGATGCACTAGTCCCGGTGCTGGCCATGCGGTGGTGTTCGGAAGGCGCTGGAATCCTACCGGACCCATCTGGAGACTGGCGTCAAGCCACAGTCCCGAGCACTGCGCCCTCCTCGTTGGGGCACGTTCGAATAACTCTGCGAAAAAGACGGCGTGCCGAGGGACAGCTGCCAGTACTCATGTCGCGACAGCTGCCCTCCAGGCCGCTGACCTCATTTGCCCCGCGGCCACTCTCTGTCTTCAACATCGTCCGTGTCCCAACATTGGAACATCAGTGATTGACAATCGGGTGTGTTGCATGGACAATGCCACTTGCACGCAGGTAACCGGTACGTCGCAAGGGGTTCTGTGTGGGCGCACGCGACTGGAGCCACAGGGCCACGTGACCTGAACACACGCCGTCCAAGCGCGTGAATTGGAGCACAAGGTCCGACAGAAGAGTCATACGGGGCATAAGCCCTTTTTCCTCGCGTGTCCTTGAAAGAAACACACGTTTGACGACGACAGTGCCATGTCGCGACGACCTGCGCCCAGAGAAGAGACCTTCGCCACTGAAACGAAGCGAGTGTCCCAGCCGGGAAAGCGGAGCAAGGACGATGCGGGGCGCAGAGCAGGGCTGGGCGGGTGCCAACGATCGGGCGTCCTGGTCTTGCAATTCCCGGCTCATCCCGGAGCGAGAGCACATGCCGCCAGAATTTCCCACGACGCGATCTCGGCCTATCCATGCTTCATATCAGCAAGATAGCGATTTGCGCGCCTCGAGAGGGGGAAGGCTACTACAGTAACGTCGCAACGCGAGTTTGTCGGTCGGTCGGTCGGTCTGTCTGTCTGTTTATTACGTCCCTCGCTGAGCGCGTCATCCCGCGGCTGAGATGAGTTTGTTTAGGGGAGAGAGGGCCGTCGAGAATGGAGCGTGGCGTCGAGTCGCTCTGGTGCCAGTTGAACATTTGCGTCGATCGGGAAGAGTGGCCGGAGAAGGACCTTAGCAATTCGAATGGAGATGTCGTTCGGTACGACTACTACTACGACTACTACTGCCGTGGCCACGAGTAGTGTAGCTGGACGAAAGAAAAAGTGCAGCCACTGGCCGAGGACGGGAAGCCGGTTCCAGAGGGCCGCGGGGTCTGGACGCCCGAAGAGCACCAGCTCTTCGTCGACGGGATCAAGTTGTTTCCATCGGGGCCGTGGAAAGATATTGCTAGTCACGTGAGGACACGCACGGCGCGTCAGACCATGACGCACGCGCAGAAGTACCGGCAAAAGATCGTGCGAAGGCTGCGCAACGCGCGCGTCAGCGGCAAGTTCAGCCTGCCGTTTCTCCTGGAGCAGTCGTCGCGGTTCAACGTGTTGCTGAGCACCGACGAGCAGTTCAGCGACTCGATCCTGGCCACGTCGCTGGCCATTGCAGCCGAGCAGGAGCTCGCTCGGCTCGGCGTGCTGAGCGACGGCGGGGCGTCGCCGACGGAGATTGGCGTGGACCCGGGCACTGCTTGGGGCAGCGTCTTCACGGAGCCAGCTGACCGCAACAACAACATCAACAACATCAACAGCATCAACGACAGCGACCTCGACCTCGACGACAACGACCTCAACAATACGTACCAGAAGCACTTGCCACTGGCAATAAACTTTTCCTCGTCGGAAGGCAGCCCGTACTACTTGGACGGCCCGTCGTTCGAGCCCAACGACATTGAGTTTGACAAGTGCATGGACTTTTTGATCGAGACGTTCCACCACGAGACGTGAGGCCGCTGCGATGGCGCTCCCCGGAATCGAAGCGTATTTATTTGACGAGACCACCGGTGGACGCAGCACAGTGGCAGCTACGAGAAAGGAGGGAGGGAAGGGGAGGGGGGAGGGAGAGAGAGAGACTAGAAGAAGACACGGAGGAAGAGGCGCGCGCTTGATGCGAGGAGATTTGTAAGACAGAGTAATATATAGTATAGCCAAATCGCTGTCCCCTTTGGGCCCGAGCAGCTCAAGTCGACGGCAAATGCCAACGGCAATTGTTGCAATGTCCGTCGGCATCCTGCGGTTCAATAGCACGCAGCTACATCAAGCGAGTCGACAGATACGGCGCGTCCATTGACAGGGGACACGCATTGCGGTGATGGCTGTAGGCTGCACGGACCCTCTCGGTGGCTTTTGCATTGGTGCGGACGATCGTCTCGCCGTGGCCACGTGACAGATGGCAAGCAGGGAGCTTGATTTTCTGACAGACGTCTTCGCAGCACGTTCTCGTGGGCAGAAGAGACCTGTCCTGTCCTGTCTGTCGGGGGAGAGACACGCGCAGCTGTCGCGTCTGCTGCGTTAGGGCAAGTGCGATACGCCCGACGCGACAGCTGCGAAGGCACGAGGTCCGTGGCAATTGCGGCCAATTTTTGGCTCCAGCTTCGTCAAGTGGCCCGTGTCGCGGCAGTCGATCGACGATCAGGACCTCTTGTTGCAGCGGATAGCGACGCGTACGTGCAGCCACGAGTAATGTGAAGGGAGTGCACTTGTGCTGTGGTTCGCCGGACGTGACTTTATTCGTGTCGATGCGAGCTCTGATCTTTGACTCGAGTGCTCATGTCGACGGTTTAGTGCCGCGTTGGCGCAGACTCGAGTCCTTGTTGCAAGTTGCATCTCGTCCCGAATTAGACGCGATGTGGCGTAACGTGATGGACGAGTCGCACCGCTTGTTTTTGTTGATCGTCGATCGTTGTAGTCTCCGTGCGAGAGATACGATCACTGACGTGGCAACTCCGTGCGTGGTACATGTGTGCTTGCACTTCCTTTTTCCGACGAGGGAATGCAAAGGTGGTAAGCTGATCCTGCGCTCTTGCATGTCGCCCAGCAGCTCCAAGGCGAGACATCTGTCTGCTAGCACCGCAAAGATCCGACCCACGACGACAATATCGTAGCAACAATAAAGTTCCTCGTGCGCAAGCGCCGAGTCGCACAAATGGCCAAGTCAGGAGTCACTTGCTGTCTGACTCGTTCACGCACAACCGACTGGACAATTGGACCGCGCCGGCAGAACTTATGCAGCCAGGTTACAGTGCGAGTGTGCCAGCAGAAGGCAGCTTGCGTGATGCCTTGGCTTGGAACTTCACGTGGAAGCGAGACTTCCAGCACTTCCGTGCAAAACAATTTGCCTCCTGGTCCTGCTTTCGAATCGCCGTACAACGTCGCTGACGGTATCGTCAAAGCTGTTACTGGATCTTGCCGCAACTACTGCGGGTGGTACAACGCCGACGTGCAAGTCATGAGCTGTCGGCCACAGCACAATGAGTGCCATTTACACCACGATGGTGCCGGTACGACTCCTTCGATGCGTTGATCGACTTGGCCGGGTGAAGGAGCGGTTGGCGTACACTGGAGACTTGCTCGACGGGAGCTACAGTAGCCGCATCGCAATGAAGCGATCAGCGCTATGGAAACCGTCCTCACTTCCTTCCGGCCAAGGAGAGCACAGCACGATGTGATGCATCAGCACATCCATACGCGAAGCTATGACGCGTTCCGACTCCGCCTTTTTCGGCAAACAATGAGTGTCCCCAGCTACTGATCCTTAGTGGACTGGGTCAAGCGCTTGCTCCAATCTGCGTCGTCGTCGACATCACTGTCACCCAAACACTCAGTAGCTGCGTAGTGAGATAACTGGGACTGCTGCAGCAGCGCGTGCAGCTCCAAATTGACGGCACGTGCTGTAACCTCAGAGCACGTGTCACTTCGACTTGATACGGGAAGCAGTCGTCGAGTTTGTCTGCGCGGCGGTGCATGCGGTGGCGCAAACATAGCAGCACAAGGAGGAAGCAATGGAGCTTCTGGCGCTGAGGTTGACAGTGCAGGGGGATCCTGGTCAACTTGCTTTGTGTGTCCTGGTTGTGCATGGGCTTGACGATATGCCAGCACGTTCCGCAGCTCACGGACGAAATTGGGTGTTGAGCCAGGGACTATGACGACACTTTGCGCCTCCTGTCGCTTCAGCAGCGCCTGCAAATCGAAATCGTTGTCGCCTGTACTCGTGCCAGTGAATACAACAGTGCAGTTCGTGGCTTCTCGAGCTGGAACTGATGATGGAGCTACCGGAGACACTAGAGCCATCTCATGACTGACCTTATCTCCAGTCACAGCACCTTCACTGACAATTTCCGCTTGGTCTGCCCGACCTGTCAATGCGCTCAACGCACTATCGTAAGCAGCCCACGCTTCCTGCAGTTGTACGACCATAGAGTGCATGGCATCACGGGATCGGGTCAGTCTTTCTGCTACTGTATCCGCCGGGAGAAGCTCGTGTTGTGCCGCGACCACGAGAGCTGCAAGTGTCTCGCTTGTTGATCGCAGCTCGTAAAGTGTCGAAGCCACGTTCTGTGGGCAAGTATCGTTTGCACTCGACAATGCTACGTGCTGCCTTTGTTGTTGCTGACCCGAGAGTTTCGTAGCTCGGTCACTGCCTTGCAGTGCCATAGGACTACGGGAGGTGTTCCAAGCATCGAGGTCATCGGCACACGTGCTCAGTGTTGCAATCAATCGCTCAACTGCAAACCGCTGCGAGTCCAGCGCTCGAAACAGACTCCATCCAACCTCGGTCCTGCTACGAGGCAAACAAGCGCGCGTCATTGTTCGCACAAGCGCAGAGTGCACCGCGCTTTCCAGCAACAGCATAGCTCGGTTGTGTTGCTTCGTCAGCGCCGTTAGCAGTAGTGATGGAGTCTGTTCGCCCGCAGTCGTTTCGTCTTTCGAATGGTCTTGACACCTGTAATCGATTGTCCGGTCGCTCTTCTCCACTGTCAATGCCAGCATGAACAGCTGCTGATTCAGTGTGCGTAGTTTCCGCCGCAGCGGCACGCACCGCAACTGGTCCGTCGACGAATACATAGCAGCATCCTTACCACGACGACCATGGTCAGCACTTTTCATAGTGCTCGCCTCCAATCGGCCAATCGGCGGCAGCAAACCCGTTCCGAGGCGATACCCCCGACTCGCCAACTCTGCACGCTTTACAAGCGCCAAACTGCTAGCATAGACCTCATTGAACGTTTCCAGTTGTACTACAAACGCGCTCAGTGAACCCACGAGCCGTCGCGAGCAACGTGCATACCAGGCATGTAGTAATCGCACACCCACTTCTAGACCTAGCAAGAAGAAAGTCGTGGCTGCAACGATCACTTTCATCGTCTGCAGCAGCACGTGTTCCCCATCACCTCGTCCAGTGATAGCCGTCACTATCGCTACCATCAAAGCAGCACACGCGTACACCATCAAGACAGCCCTCTTGGTCTCGTCCGTACCAACCTCACGGACACGCCGCAGCACTTCCAATGCTGCAACAGAAGAGCACCACCCACTTTTACGAAACTTGGACGGTACTCGGAACACCGCAGGGTCACTCGCCCCAGCTTGCTGCAAGTCTTCACTGTACGAAACATCGCCAATAGCATTGCAGCACACATCGTAAACGGCGTCAGCTCGTTGCCCAACACATGCCTATGCTGCCGCGTAGACCTCACCGGATCGTCGGGTGGAACGCACAGAGCTCTGGAATCAGTCGCTGCACTGCTGCCACCTCAATGTGACGTCGCACTATCTCCAACAGTCTCTTCATCCAGCGCCAGCTCATCAACATCTGGCTCGCTTGGTCGCGTATGCGTCGCTCGGTAGGTACTGCTGCACGAGGTGCAGACAGCCATTGCGGCCGTGTCTCGCTGTCGCTGGCGGCTGTGGCTTCAAGCTCTGTACAGGTACAAATCAAGGCACACATCCAACACGTCAGTGTTATGTGCTGGTGCGTCGACGTGGCTGTGTCGTGCCGTTCGTACGTACGCGTCAAGTATTGGCCCAGTGGCGAGGAGGCCGCCACCACGACTTCCATTCGTGCTCGCTTTGGGTAGCTCGTGTTGACCTGCCACTTCATACCCTTACTTCATCTTCCCACTTCACCCGACCACTTCATCTTGCCACTTCATCCGACCACTTCATCCATCATTAAGATCCACATTTGTCCTTTACTGGCGCGCCACGTGGATCTTATGCTGCAGACGCCTCGTTCTCGGCGGCTGCTGCTCGCCGTGGCGGCGCTCGCGCTCACTGCGACGGACGCCGTCGACCGCAGCAAGTTCCGCACGTGCGATAAGACGCAGTTCTGCCACACGTACCGCAACGCGCCGCCCGCTGCGACGACGTTCCAGGTGGTTCGTGACAGTATCCGATCGGACTCAGATGCGCACCTAGTGCGGTTCCTAGTTGAGGACGCGGGTCGCATCGGTGGCGTCCACTTGGACGGGTCGTTGGCGTTCGTACTTGGCGAAGACAAGGCGACCGTACCGGCGTTGCGAGTGCGTCTACAGGAGAAGTTTGACGACCCAAAGGACCCCAAGACGAGGTGGACGAGCCACGACATCCTCGTGCCTGCTGCAGACGAGACACGACCGTTGCGTCAACTGACGGCCGCCGAAGCTGGACTGACAGCGCCGATATCCACGCAGGACGTGCTGCTCTTTGCGCCTGCGGGGCACGAGCCACGCGAGACGCCACGCGTAGTGGCGGCGCTGAAGGTGGGCAAAGGATCGTTCGGCGTGGATTTGTACCTGGATGGAGAGAAAGTGGTGTCTACCAATGACGACGGCAAGTTCCACTATGAGATCCGTCAGGACCAAGCAGCGGTGAAGACGGGGGCTGGCGCAGCAGCCGATCAAGGGGCCGTCGATGCCCACGAGGGCAAGACGATTGTGGATTATGGCGAGGACGGCCTTGCCATCTACGAAGACGGCACGGTGCAAAAGAAGGAGGAGAGCTCGACGACGGACAGCAACTTGGCGGATGCTGCTGACGACAAGGTGGAAGGCTGGGAAGAGTCTTTTGATGGACATACGGACAAGAAGAAGTTCGGTCCGAGTTCTATTGGTCTCGATGTGTCGTTCCATGGCTCCGTAGAAGCGCCGCGCTCGTTGTACGGTATTCCAGAGCACGCAACGGACTTTGTCTTGAAGGACACGATCGAATTTGACGAAGGCGGGGAGAGGAAGGTCGTGACTGACCCATACCGACTGTACAATTTGGACGTGTTCGAGTACGAGCTGGACAATCCCATGGCGCTGTACGGCGCGATTCCCGTGCTCGTCGCACCGAACAAGAAAAACACGGTCGGCATGTTTTGGAACAATCCGAGCGAGACCTTTGTCGACATTTGGACGAACGAAGACGCAAACACGAAATCGAGTCGCTGGCTGAGCGAGTCGGGTGTTTTCGATCTGTTCCTGCTGGCAGGACCTAGCAGTGCCGATCTGTTCTCACAGTACACGCTTCTCACGGGTCGGGCTCAGCTGCCGCCTCTGTTTGCATTGGGATACCACCAATGCCGCTGGAACTACAAGAACGAGGCAGATGTGGCCCGTGTGGATGCTGGTTTCGATGAGCACTTGATCCCGTACGACGTGTTGTGGCTGGACATTGACCATACTGATGGCAAGCGCTACTTCACTTGGGACAAGCACGCGTTTCCGACGCCAAAAGACATGCAAGAGGCAGTGGCGCGCACTGGTCGCAAGATAGTGACTATCGTTGACCCGCACATCAAAGTGAGTCAGCCCGGCGACAAGCATCCGTATTACATTCACACCGAGGCTGAGGAGCTCGGGTTGTTTGTGAAAGACGAGCAAGGCAACGATTTCAAGGGTTGGTGCTGGCCGGGTGAGTCCTCGTACGTTGACTTTACATCGCCAAAGGCGCGTGCTTGGTGGCGTCACCAGTTCCGCTACGAGAACTACCAGGACAGTACCAAGCATCTGTACACGTGGAACGACATGAACGAGCCGTCGGTCTTTAACGGCCCGGAAGTGTCGATGCGCAAGGGCTGCGTAAGTATCACGGGCGTCGAGCACCGCGAGTGGCACAACTTGTACGGCACTCTCTTCCAATGGTCGACAATGGAGGGCCAGCTTGTTCGCCAGCAGCCTCCCCCCGAGCCACTCTCGGCATTCGCTGAGGAGCTGCAGCTATCGCCGGACATGCAACGTCCATTTGTGCTGTCTCGTGCGTTTTCTGCTGGCTCGCAGCGATTTGGTGCAGTCTGGACGGGCGACAACATGGCCGAGTGGGGTCACCTCCGTTACGCCACGAAGATGTTGCTGTCCATGTCAGTTGCAGGACTTACGTTCGTCGGTGCCGATGTGGGCGGGTTCTTCGGCAACCCGTCCACGGAGCTGCTCACGCGATGGAACCAGGCCGCAGCGTACCAGCCTTTCTTCCGTGGCCACGCACACCACGATTCAGCCCGTCGTGAGCCGTGGGTGTTTGGCGAACCGACGACGTCACATGTCCGCGCTGCAATTCGTGAACGTTACTCGCTGCTGCCGTACATCTATACGCTTTTCCACACGTGCTACGCTCGCGGAATGCCTGTCATGCGGCCGCTGTGGGTGCACTTTACGGAAGACCCACAAAGCTTCAGCGAGGAAGACCAGTTCCTTCTGGGCGATATATTGCTTGTTAAGCCGATCGTGGACGAGGGCGTTGAGGCGACGCACGTGTTCTTGCCGTCGGAAAACAGCAAGGACAAGACAGTGTGGTACCAGGTGACCGACGGGTACAAGCGGTTCGTGGGTGGCAAGACGTACGAGAATGTACCTGCGCCGCTGGACGCCATCCCGGTATTCCACCGCGGCGGCACGATCTTGCCGCGCAAGCAGCGCGTTCGTCGCAGCTCTGAGCTCATGCGCAGCGACCCGCTCACGCTTATTGTGGCGTTGGACCAGCATTTGATGGCGCGTGGCGAGCTGTATGTGGACGACGAGCGTTCGCTGGCTGCTGAGCTCGAGGGCGAGGGAACACTGGTGTCGTTCCAGCAAACGAGGGATGGGCTGCGCTCGACGGCGGCGGCTGCTACTCTACAAGGCAAGCGCTACACGTCGCAGATGTGGGTAGAGCGGATCGAGATCTACGGCTTCCAGTCCGCGGCCAATGTGCCGAAGCAGGTGCTGGCGGGAGGCGAGCGGGCGGTGGACTTCCAGTACGACGCTGCTGGTGACCGACTTGTGCTGCGCAAGCCGCAAATGCTGGTCACGGACGATTGGGAGCTCCGCTTCGTGTACGACCAGGCAATCGAGTAGCGTCCGACTCGCGGTCTGTCTGCCGGCATCGACGAGCTGTTGAGCAGTTGTCAGGCCACGCAAGAGCGGTCCGAGTCCCACGCAGCAGTAGCACGCACGACAGAGTGTGGTGCGATCGACGTAGGTACATTGCGTTGCACACGGAGGAGTAGCAAGTAGGTGCGATGGACGTGGGTGAACAACGTTGCACATGGCGCAGGAGCGAAGTGGTACTATCCCAATGTACACAGAGTCTGTTCAGAAACGCTGAGTGAGGCACCACCAGGTTCAATCCGTTCGACAAGCTGCTTCACATCGCGCCATTGTGTCCGACTGAAAACGACTAGTCAGCGGTTATCCCAGCGCGCGCTCCCGGCCGAGGGCGGTCAAAACGGACGTCCGTCGCAAAACGTTCAGCCGCTGTCGGCCTTTCCTCCCATCGTGTGTCTCATGCGAATCGAGAGTATACCTGATCGCATGGAAACGCGTACCGTTACGCCCGACCAGCACTTCAACATGGAGCCAAAAAGCAATCAAAACCTTCGGCTTTGCCACTGCCAGTGGCAACGAAACCTCCCCCTCAATCTGCACACGCCACCGCTCGCTTCGTCTCGCTCTCGCGCTCTCTCTGCGCGTAAAAAAAAACGAACCAACTCGTCGTGGCCGGTATGGCCCCTTGCACCGCACGGGCACAAACCTGCAGCAGCAACAGCTGGCGCTCGATCTGTCCACGCCCCCGTCCTTGTCCTTGGTGGCGCGCTGCCCTCGCCCTACCCGCTGCCCCTATCCGCGTTACAAAAACCACACGACTGGCCCACTGCCTTCCGCACGCGACGACGCTCTCTGCCCTCGCACAAGACGCCACCGCGCGTCCCGTCTGTCTGCCCTGTCGCGCGCGCAGACGATCGCACGCTGCCCACAAACAACAGTCGCCGCCGTCGTCGTCGTCGTCGCCACACCACTTGCGCGCTGAACGTCCGTATTCTCCGTTTTGCTCCGCTCGAAGCACATCTCCCGTCCCGTTCCCGTTCCCTCTCGACCCGTCACGCGCACGCGTTCTTTCTCTCTCATCCGCCCGCCCGCCCGACGATGAAGTTCAGTCCGCTGACGCTGCTCGCTGCGGCCACTCTCGCGTCTTCGGTCGCGGTCGGCGTCACGTCAGCCGCCGACTCGCCGTCGGTCTCGAACAGCAACGAGGAACTCGCAACGACTCCGTCCACAACGACCCCAACGACCTCAACGTCTCCGTCAACGTCTTCGTCTTCGTTAACGTCTTCGTCTCCGTCAACGCCTTCGTCTCCGTCCACCCGACCCACTACGTCCACATTGCCCGTCACCTCGTCAGGATCGCTGCAAGAGGCCAACAACAACAACAACAACAACAACAACGAGAACGGCAACAACAACGAGAACGACAATGGCAACAACGACACCGACAACGACAATGACAGTCGCGTGCCTACTCCGTCCCCTGCGGGCGGCTTAGGCAACAGCACCCGCACGGCCCCTGCCGGCGGCGACGTGTTTGCCAACCTCAAGACGAACACGTACCCGTCCGACACGTACCACATGCCGCCGGTCCGCGCCATCCACGCGCGTGTCCAGAGCGACGCGCCGCAGCTCGTGGACGGCGTCTTCGTCTCGAGCTTTGGCAACGGCGACCTCGAGGCCGGCTACCTGAGCGCCATGGACACGGTCAACACGGCGTCGGTCGAGGGCGCGCTCATGTACGTGCAGGCCGAGGGCATCAACGTGAACGTCCGGGCCAAAGAAGAGCGCTGCGAGCGCAAGTCGGGCATGGCGCACATTGTGTTTTACGAGATTCTGCTCGTGCAGACGAACGAGACGCTCGCGCAGTTTCAAAAGTCGTGGGGCGAGACGCCCGAGTACGGCCCCATGCTGCCCATGGACAGCGGCCGCTGCACGCCGCTCTCGGGCGACGACGACTTCCCGGCCGGCTGCCTCCAGTTCAACGGCGACGACGGCCAGCCGAACGTCGGGCCGTTCATTGGCGGCGGCATCAAAGACGACGACGTGCGGGCGCCGTACCCGGACAACTACTGGTTTTCGTTCCCCGGCACGTGTCCTCTGAAAGGATGGGCCGACAAGACGGACGAGTGCCGCGAGTCGACGCGCAAGGGCCTGTGTGACATGGGCGAAGGGCCGGACGGCGTCGAGTGCACGTTCACCTACAGCGTGCTGGGCTGGGTCACGATCGACGACGTTGTGGGCATCACGGCCATTGAGAACCCCGACACGGGCTCGACGTACGCCAACTTTACCGAGTGGTGCCTCGCCGACACGAACAACACCGAGTTCTCGGCGAACGCAGAGAGTGGCGAGTTCGAGACGGGACTGCCGTTCTGGGAAGACCCGCTCAACACGACGGCCAACTCGGCGCGTGCCGAAGCGGTTGTGGCCAAGTACGAGGAGACGCTCGCGTCCGGCTCGACGCAGATTGACAGCACCTTACTGGCTGCTTTCCGTGCCTTGCCGACGCCAGAGGAGCTCGCTGCGTTGAACCCGCCGTGTTACATGACCGTGGAAGCGTGCGGGTCGGGCAATGGGTGCAAGCGCGTTGGCTACTCGCAGATCTGCACTGCGTGCGAAGCGGACGAGGGCTGCGAGACTGGCGGCAACGATTTCGTGTACCCGAAGCTCGCAAAGGCCAAGACTGAGCTGTCCGAGGAGGAGACGACGACCAAGGTAGCGGACGGCAACAGCACTAGTGGCGGCGTGTCGGACTCGAACACGGACTCGACTGGAGCTAACGCTGCGGCACCGATGGCGTTCACGGCTGCGTCCGTCGTCCTCGGGCTCGTGGCTGTTGTGCTCGCTCTGTAGGCCGCTGATGGACGACAGACCTCATCTTGCTGACGATCGAGCACAACGTCTCGGTCGGTGTTCGCCTTTTAGCTGCCGCGTGTATGACCGATAAAGAACATTTTCCTCATTTATTGTGTCTACGTCGTTGTCACGAGGTGGTATGCATGCGCACACGCAGTCAGAGGGCGTAACAGTCCGTCGTCATGCCATGACAAGTCCGTCGGTTGCTCTGGTGAAGAAGGGACAGCACGGAAAGGGGTCGCGCGTGGCGCATACTGTGCAGCGGACGTCTTACGTAAAGCCCCGAAATCCCATACCGGATGTCCAGACACAGCACAGCACAGCAAACAGCAGCTGATGCTGTTATGCGAGCGATGTCCGGATAGAAGCAGTCTAGTCTTCGTCTGTCTCGTGTCCACGCACGCAAGTGCGCCTGGCTGCCCGACTGCGTTTCATCTTCGAGGGACACAGACATCCAGTCCAGAGAAGCTGTGAAAATTCCACGCGAACGTCAGATTGTAAGTCGCAGGTCGTTGTCGCCTGTCGAGGGGTCTGTCAGAGAAAGACGACATGCACGTGTTGCAATTGGCGCCGGGATCTGTACTTGCGAGAGCGGCCAATGCACACTGTTCAGCACGTTGCAAGACAGTAGTCGTGCCGTGTACTTCGATTGTGTCTGTTGTGCGTTTGACGAGCGCAACACTGTGTCAAGAGCCAGTCAATACCGGCAGTGGCTTCGCTATGAGTAAGCGCTCCGTGTTGTTGTGGCAGTAAATGCCTCATGCGTGCGCCGCAACAGGCGTCACGCAAACGAGATACAAAAGTGACACACGACGATCGCATTTTGCTGACTGCACGGCCTGCGTAACTCAGCATCGTGCCGGTATGCAATGACTGGCCTGCAAAAGAAACTTGCGGAGACGGCCGCCGTGCGTCCATTTGGCAACGTACTTCTGTATGCGCAGCAGAACTGCAGCAGAAGACGAAGTGTTGCACACATTTACGACTGTCGCCTATTCCAGCGTTGCGTGGCTTGTCGGTCGTACCATTCAAAGATTGTCCACAACAATGTCTACCGGTGCACTTACTTGTAAGGAGCCATACTGAGATTGTCAACTACCACGCACAGCCGACACCAGAATGATGAAATGTAGCTTACACGCATCGTCCTTCGATCTAGAACCACCTCTTTTCGTGACGAGCACATATACGGCGACTGATACACATGACGTCCCTACATTGACGTCCTGTCAAGAAAGAGAGGAGAGCTAGCGTGATGCCACACTTCTTTTGGCTTGCCTACGGTTGTGGGGCACGGCATTTCTCGCAGCTTTTGTCAACAAACACATACTCAGATACGAGTCGTGTACGACGTGTCTGAGTGCGGGGCTCTAGATAGGACCAAGTCATTTCTGACCAGCGCGATACGTGAGGCGTTCCTTTGTGCAACCCTTTACTTGGCATGTCGAATACAAACCAATGGGCCTTCACGACGGTCGCGTTTGTCGTGCGTTGTACTACACGATCAGCCACCGGCCAACAACGCGAGGGTCGACCTGTAGCGCCGCACGTTGCACAGTGCTTGAATTGCATCAAGAGAGGAGCTTAGGCATCACAATGCGCACAACAAACAAGTTTTAGACACAAAGCACAGCGACTTGCACCGAGTTCTCCCATTTAACAGCCAATGCATCGCCCAACTCGGTATGATCGTCGGGAAGCTGTGCATCGGGATGGCACTGGTGCGAGAAGGCACTTGTTTGTCAAGCTCCACTTCTCTTCGTCGTTTTTTTACTTTCTAGTTCGCAGCTCCGAGCGACACAAACGCATCGGACGCCACAACAGCAGCGCCCGGTTGGGCTCTTCTTCTTGTGTCCGTCCACCGTACTCTCTTTTTCTCTCTCCTTTTTGCGTCTTCATCTTCACTTTTTGTCTCAACAACAACAACAACACAACAAGAGCATTGCCACCCATCGTTGCCATCAGCAGCAGCTGCTCTTGTCTTTGCCAATGTCCACGTGCGTGGCTCCCCTCACCCTCAGTCCCGTACTTCTCGGAGCACTCGATGTGGGCCCCTTGTCCTCGACCACCTGAGCACCATGCCCCCGTGAGGCGCCACCCCCACGGCTTCTTGATAGCTCCTCTGTCCTGCTCACCTGTCTCTGATGCGTCTGCGTCGGCACCTGTGTAGTTTTCTTTGCTTGGAGCTGCTCCTTGCTCGCTGGAGGTCGAGCCAATGGCTCGTCATCTCCATCTTCTTCTTCGTCCTCCTCTTCATCATCCGCAATCAACGCACTGCTCTTCTTCTTTTTGCCCCCCGTGCGACTCAACATGCGACGTGTGAGCTCCACAAACACGTCCTCGAGTCCGCGGTTCAGCTTGGCCGACGTGTCAAAGTGAGCAGCGCCTACAGACGCCGCGTATCGCTTGGCGTCTTCCTCCGAGACTTTTCGATTGCGATGCAGGTCGCTCTTGTTGCCTGCAATGCAAATGGAAATGTCGTCACCCACAATGCGTCGCAGCTCGCGCACCCACGTCCGGACCTTGTGGAACGACTCGACGTCCGTAATGTCGTACACGAGCAACGCGCCGTCGGCGTCGCGGTAGTAAATGGGGCCCAGCGCATGGAACCGCTCTTGGCCCGCCGTGTCCCATAGCGACAGCGCCACGCGGCAATTGTCCACAAGCAGGCGCTTGTCCAAGTACGACGCCTGCAACGTCGAATCCTGTCGTTCGTCATACTCGCCTTTGATGTACCGCACGAGGATCGACGTTTTGCCCACGCGACCTACGATCGAGAATAGAAACCAGTCGCGAAATGCGAAATAAGAATAAAAACAAATGTTAGAAATACGAGAAAAAAAAGAGAGAGAAAAAAAGAAAGCACCACACGAGAGCTGCATCTGCATCGGCTACTAATGCGATTGCGACTAGTGAGAGTGCGACTGCGGCGAGTGTGGTAGCTGCTGTACCTTCGCCGAGTAGGACGACCTTTAACTTGGTGGTCGAGCGCTCGCGCATGGCGGATGCAGGCGACAGGGGACGAGCGGAGGAGTGACGGGCAGTAACGGCGGTGGCGATAGAGAAGGAAGAGAAAAAGAGGTGGGGGGTGGGGTAGACGATTGTTTGCTTTTGGTCGATCGCGGCACCCAATTCTTGTTCCGTCGGCAGCGTCGGAGCAGCTGCGACTCCATGGCGACCGGTCATTGGTCGAAAGCAGAACGCGTTGTGTTCTTTTCCGCTGCTTGTCTCCTGTTGTGGTCGACCCAAAAAGCGACTGGCTACCTACTCGAGAATGTATCGAGTAAATACACGCTCAACAACGTCGTTGAATGTTCAAACAGGTAGCTACGGGACTATACACCTACTGCTATACACGTACCGCTGCTATACGCACCTTTTTTTTGTCGACCCGACGCGCGTGGCGTCCATTGCCATCGGATGTTGCGGCCTTCCGGACGTCTCTTGCGACAGCGACTGCCGGTGGGTATCCGCGCAACGTCACGTAGCAGTAAGCAGATCAGTAAACGACTGCGCATGGACGGGCGGCTGGGCGAGAAGCTGCGTGCGGCGGTTAAAGACCTGTCGCTCGAGATGCTGCCGGCGCTCAAAGTGCTGTCCGAGAGCATTGGGATGTTGCGTCAGAGTCCGGCGCTGCGCCGCTGGAGCGCTTCGGATTGGCTCGTAGGGCTGTCGGTGCTCGCCCAGCACAAGACAAAGCAGCGCAGGACGGGGGAACGGCACGACGACGAGTTGAGGACGACACCAGTGACGGTCGATCAGGTGCGGACATGTACTGATGCATTGCGTGGGCATGTACTGCTTTATGTTAATGCTGAGTAAAACGCACTGCTGGATGGTATGAACTCGTACGGTGCTGCGCAACTATGAACGCAGGAACTACTGTCTAAGTTACTGCGCTACGTTCGCGTGTGCGACGCCGTGTACGCGTCGTCGATGGACGCGTTTTGTACCGAGGCGGCCGTGTCACGCGATTGCATCGTGTGGGCGCACCCGGGCGGTGTAGTGTCGCCCAAGTGCGTGATTCTAGTCGACCACGATCACAAAGAGCTCGTGCTCGCAGCACGCGGCACGGCTTCGCTGATGGACTTTTGCACCGATCTGTGCCTGTACAATGAGCCTTTTCAGAATGGACAAGGTCACCGTGGCATGGTGCATGCGGCAACGTGGCTAGTGCACCATTTACGTAGTGATCTACGGGAGCTGTCGCACAGGTACCAGGACTATCGCGTGGTAGCAACAGGCCATAGTCTGGGAGCAGCAGTGGCAGCACTTAGTGCTATGCAGTTGCGGGAGGAGTTCCCGGACATTCATTGCTATGCGTTTGGTACACCAGCCTGTGTAACAGAGGAGCTAGCGACTGGCACGTACGACTTTGTGACAACGGTAGTGAACGGATATGACTGCGTACCGCGCCTGCACCAACACTCGCTGATGAAGCTGCAAGAGGAAGTTCGACGCTTTGATTGGCGATCCGTGTTGAAGCAGATGGTCGCCGAGGAAATCCACAAACACAAGGCTGCAATGGAGAAGCATCAGCGAGAAAAGATCGATGAAATGCACAGAGCGTTGCAAACGATGAACTTTCTTCAATTGAAAGAGCACACAAACAGCGCTACCGTCAAGCTGGGCGAAGTGAAACGGGTACGGGAAGCACGTGTTGGTGTTAATGGGTAACAAGAAGTGAGGAAGCTAACGATGTTTGACAAGGCTGCGTCCGAGAACATGATGGAGTTCGCCCATGACGTCGACACGTTGCTATCGGGCAAACTCGGCGCCACCTTTTCCGTTTTCAAGACGGACAGGCATTTGTTGGACCACGTCTCGTTCATCAAGAACTATACGAAACTGGAGGATGTTAAGAAAGGTACGAAACCTCGGACATTATCAGCAGTCTGAAGTCTCCAAGGCGTTTACGGATAGCTAATTCTCTGTTCCAGGTGATTTTGCGTGGTGGAAGTACGTTGATGAGAGTGTTGCTTCCGTGGAGCGTCTATTGCCAGCTGTAAAAAAGCCCGAAGAGCTTGAGCGCGTGCTGGTGGAGCTGCGAGAGGTCCTCCAGAAGACCACTATGATTTCAGGGAAGCTCTTGACGCTTGATGGCACCCACGGTACGTAGTCCCCATTCTATGCTAAACTTAGACTGTGTTGTTAATGATCGCACGATTTTGATTGCTCAAGGCGACGCGACAGAGTCCACGTCGCTGCAGATCTTTCATTCTCGAGTGAACGACATCATCAGCAAGACGAGTGCGGCGCTGAAGATGAGCGTCAGCGAGCAAGTGTGAGTATCTCTGCCACGATGTTTTCTGTTGGGGTGTAGACTAATCATTCGTTTTTTGTTGCTGCAGGTCGAAGGTGTCCAGTGTTGTGACCTCTAATGTTAGGCACTGCGTGGGCACGATCAAAGAAGAAACGGAAGCATTGGGCACAGTTGTGCAGGACGAGTTCGTTGAAGTGGCGGGTATGATTTCCCGTAATTTGCCATTCACCATCGATGCGAAAAGTAGAAGCGCCTTGGAGAATCGGTCACCTGAACAATACGACAAGAGTCACGCCGACGAAGTGCTCGTCGATGCTGATCCTTTGCAAGGGGTCAATGGTGAAATCGAAGAAAAGATCGAGGATAAATGGGAGGAGGTCCAGGAGGATCAAAAGAAGCGGGAAGAGGACGACGAGCTGCGCCATGACCCGTTGTTCCCTCCTGGGCGAATCCTGTATTTGAACAGCTCGACATCCAGACCTACACAGGATAGCGCTGGCGATGATCGCAAAGTGCAGCGCGATCATGAAGTACGAGATGTGATGGATTTCGTGGAGGTTGCTACGGATGAATTCAGTCGAGTAGTGCTCTCGAATCGTATGCTGCTCGATCACCTCTGCACGGACTACGAGCGAGTTCTCCAGTGTCAAGCCAAGAAGCTGGAGTCGACGCCCAGCAGCACTACGTCAGCGCCCCAACCATAACGCTTTGTTCTTGCAGCAAACGGACATGCACAGCCAACTGCATGTGTTAATGAGACAATATGCAACACTTATTTACACTTCACGGCGAGTCTCCACGTTGCGGTGCTTCTCTTTCGCCAGCAGGTGATAGAGGCGGCAAACTCACACGCACTTCGCGGGCTTCGCGTGTGAGAAAGTCGAGCATGGCTGCGCTGCGACTGATGTCGGAATGCATGATAGCCGCCTGTAGGAACATGTTCAGCGCCTCCTGCCGATGCTTCGCCACCGGAGCTCGCGTACTGGGGAGAAACGTTCGCGGCGGTAGCAGAGGGAGACCATCTAGCACATACCCTGCACCTTCCAGCTTCGCATACATCTCCCGGAACTCGCTGAATCGACGGAACACCGTCCACTGGTAAGGTCCTCCGTACACCTGAATCAGGAACACGCTGAATGACAGCAGCTTATCGATTGCACGGTCCGGGACATTGGCATGGGCATCCTTGTTCTGCAAATGACACACTTCGACACGCACGGAACGTAGAGGCTGCGAGCGGAGATCATCGTTCGAGACTCCAGAGACTGTCGTGTCTTGCACGTTTTCCATGAGCACATGCAGATCCGTGCGATCTTCATCGTTGACCAATATGCCTGTCGTCGCACTGCTGAAGCGGCCGCCACCAGCAATCCGGGACTCCTCCTGGCTCTTTTCAAGATTCAGAAGCAAGTACCTTGTGGCCGATACATCTACCCGTGCTGAATCCACGGCTACTTGAAAGTTCGTTGCCGCCACCTCGCTGTCGCACTCAATGTTGTACGACCGAGACGGCGACGTATTTTGGCCGATCTTGAGTGTAGCGCCTTCGACAACGATTGCAAGCGTCGAGTCCAGCGCTATTTCCCACAGCTTTTGGCCCGTCTTGCCGCTCAAACAAATGAGGCGCTTGTCTGTGAGTAACAAAAGCCCACGGTGGGGCTCGATGCCATAGTCCACATGGTACACATAGCTGCGCAACAGCAGTCGAAAACAACGAATAAGTCGCTTGTCGACATAAGTGGACTTGGTACATACACACGTACTCGTCCGTAGCGTCCAGCGGCGTCAGCAGCAACACAGCGTATCCTCGGGCTTCTCGCTCGCTATAGGAAACGAGAACTCCGTCCGAGCTGTACAAACGTACAAGCACAATCAAGTTTGTTACCAAGATAACAGTGATACAATGTACACAGCGTGTTTGCGCACCAGATACGGCGTGGCAACCGGAAGCGTGTGACGACGTCGTACGCATTGCGGTCGGTACCATCCAACGACTGTGCACTTGTCTTCGCTCCTCGTGAAAGACTGGTAAGCAAGTCCAAGAAACCGGCCGTGGGCTTCACGATCAAACCCGCAACGCCTTTGCCGATACCCACGACAAATCCGCTCGCACCGTCTTGTTCTGCACCACGCACAGGTGCAGCCACTACACCTTTGATTCCATCCCAGATGCCGCCCACGAGCCCTTTGCTGCCTTCTGCGATAGCGTCACCAATGTCATTGATCTTCTTGATTTGCCGTGTGGAAGCACGCTGTCGCTGCACATAGTACTGCTCGTCCATCGCTAACAAAGCGACGCCTTTGCCAAGCGTCTCAGTGATTTTGCCAGTCGTGTGAAAGATGCCTACAGCTGTGTTCCGCAACAAGCTTTTCGAGCCTTTCGTCATGCCAGTTCGCAAGTTGTCAATGCGTAAGCCGTTCTCGTCCTCGAGTAACATTTGTGCTGGCGTGTAGAAGAAGTCCTTCACACCGGTGCCCAGCGTGCTCACAAGACCGATAGGATTTCCCAAGAAATCAACCGAACCCATGATGCTATACCAACTGCGCAAACCGTGGTGCAGGTAATGCTGCATGGCATAGAACGCCAGTGTGTGTGTTGTCTCCAGCAAGTTCTCAACATAGAACTCCGGTATCCGGATGGGTGCTTGGTCCAAGTTTGACACAAGAGCCGCCGCTGCACTGATGAGCGTGCTTAGCGCAGATGACATATCTGGCGACAGCTGCAGGTAAACAGAGATAGAATGTTAGCAACACCGTAAACACAGTGGAAACGCAGTGCATCAAACCAGGTACCAGTGACAGCAAGAGCGACCGATCTGCAGTACTTGTAAACGTTACGTTGACCTTTACAGGACAAAGCAAAAGCCATCGCAAAAGCACCTTCATGTTCGCTCCTCCACCACTCTTTGTGCTGTCCAGGCGTTTACCTGCAGCAGTGGAGAGCAATGTGGGCGTCGACCATTCGATCTCCAGGAGCTTGAGTGCCAAATTGGAGCCAAATCCATCGCCCGAGCGCTTGCTTTGCTTACTCGTGCGCGAAGCCGAAGCCGTGTGCGACCATTTCACTCCAGAAAAGACATGCGCCAACGCGACGAACGTCGCGTCTTCCAGTTTGATTTCTAACTCTTGCAGCTGACCGAAAATGTAATCGAATTGGACCACGTTCGGCTGATGGCTAAAGACTGCCATTAGCTGCAGCGTCGGCAATAGCATTGGGGTCTCCACCTGTCCACTTTCAACGCTCTCTTTTCCTCCTTCACCACGCGCCATTGTGTAGCCTTCTTCTTGCATTTGCGCATCTAGCAGACGAATCGGACGCAGTAGAACAGGGTAGTTGGTGTCTAGAAGCTGGTTATCGATCTGGAAGTGCCCAATGCGGGCATTTATCACTTTTTTGCCGTCCGATATTTGACCATAGCTCAACTGGACGCCTGCTGACGCATTCTGGTCGGATAGAGATATGCAGAGTACCTCTCGTGGCTCTTGTGGACCCGTTGCTGAAGCCATCGAACTCCATGCACCATCATCGACAACCGAGATGCAAATGCGCGCTACTTCTAGCTGAAAATGGAGGCTAAGATCTCGCTGCTGATGAGCGGCACGGAGCGGGTTTATGAAATCCCACTTCAAGGCGAGCCGCAGTTGACCGATCATTTCCAATGCCGAGTGTTGCCGCGAACGCTGCTGAGGCGAGTACAACGCACAGATTCTTTCGTTAAACGTAAGCGCGGATGGTTCAGCCATCGGGTTTCCTTGCATCGACATCAGATTTCCTGCATCAGAGAGAGAAGATGGCGGCAAAGGTACCCAGCACTCCGCTAGAAGTACGTCAAAACGCGAATCTTGCTTGCTATGATCAAGGTGGTCCATCATAGCGTCATCACCAAAGAAGTACAGAAACGGCACGATACTAGATTCCTGTGACGCCGAGAGACCATGATCGGATGTTTCGTTGCGCAAGTACACGCGCACAAGCACCTGCTCTTCGCCCGATTCCGCAGCGGAGTTAGTGTTTGGCGTTTCGACAAATTCCACCCTTCGATTCCACTCGGCATCATATTTCCGAACGCCAGCTTCTTCATACAGAGGCTGCGCACACGGAGGTCTCGCGTTGCTAAATGCCGGAGACGTCGTGGGCTGATACAGAAATGACAACGTAAATGTCGACCGTGGCGCCTGATTTTGAATCTGGCTTCCAATACCTTCTCCCCAATGCATGGCCTTCTCAATCACTGCAAATGATGCGTCGCGATGAAGGTTCACGATGGATTTCTTGTTGACTGCGACCACCGTATCACCAATGCGGATCTTACCTTCGTAAACAAGAGCTCCGCAAGGTCCGTCGCAAACTACACCTTGAACGAGCACGCGTCCATTTCGATAAACAAGATCAAGTCCTAGTGTCTGGCCTCGCAGGAACTCGTGTGTGCGGACCCGCTGCAGATGAGCATGATTGCTTGGCGATTCTGCCGTAGATGTCTCCCCAGATGATACGGATCTGCTGTCATCAGACTTATCCTGCTCTGTTGATGCTGCTATGCTCGAAGCCTTAGCAACTGCTGACAACGCCGAGCGTGTTGACTTCTGGTACGTGATCGTGCAATACACCTTCGGCTCCAACTGCTCGATTTTTCGATGCGTGTGTTTGAAATTGCTTCGAATGATCTCTGTGGGAATTTGCAGATTTGACACGCCAATCAGAACTGCGGTCAACCGCTTTTCGTCAATCATGTCTTCATATGCACCGTCGCTTACGGATCCATCTGTAGTCACTGAGGGAGCCGATCCCCGAGTCGAGTTGGCACTTTGACTATGGGGGCCACCAGAATCATCTTCTATGCTAGCAACGAAGTGTGAAAGAGTCATACTCTTCTTCTCTTCTTCGGACGAACAATCTGGCACTGCGCGCAACGCTGCTGGGATATTGCTGCCGCTGGTCGATGTATCAACTGCTTCGTGCTCGAGCAACATTTTAAGCTGCGACTTAGAGTCCACCAACAAGTCCAGTTCTTTCTTCAGCTGGTATGCAGATAGTATATCCTTTATCTCCTTTACCGCGTCGTGATCCTCACTCCCCCCTTCATTGAGCTCAGAAGTAGCACTTCGAGCCGTGGATGTTCGTCGACAACACATCTGGAAGCGGATTCGTGTTTCGTTTCCTAACGAGCGAGGCCGTCCTCCACCTGTCTGAAATAAGTGCACAGGCGCGAGAAACTCGACCACTGGTGCCTCGTAGTTTGCGTCACTTCTAGCAGAGATCATCGCAGCAGCACAGTATTCCTGCAACGGAATACGTGTAGCTGCAACGACAGACGAGCCAAAGAGAACTTTGTCCGCTTCTCGTATCTCCACAATGATCTCTACGTCAGCACCAAACTCGTGGTTCGACTCCCCCTCGGTTTTTTCACCGTCGTCAAATAACACCAAAGTGCTCAAAGTCGTCTTTGAGTGTAGTGCAGGCAGCCAACGCGGAAACACCGTCGTAGACTGGGGAGTAAGCTTCGTCCGAACTTCTCGCTCTGCAGTCTTCAACTTGAACGTAATGAACGGCTGACACGATGTCAAGTCGCTCCGCCCAGCTTGGAGAAACACTTCTTCAAGATGTGCAGCGTCTACGAGGCGAGCACAAAGCGCCAGCGCTTCCATCTCTTTCCCTTCGACGTCTGATGACGGGATACTGCCAGCTACTTTGTCTTGTTTCGTTTCTCTTTGACTCGTATCCTCTTCCATGCCGAGCTTGGCCCTACCATTCGTAATGTCTGTCGCAAAGCGTACACACTTTTTCGATGCACGCACTCCCTGTACCAGATCGTCATTTAATCCGTTTGCCAGATGAGCTGCATGTGCCGAGAGCACATGCGAAATAAAGACAATCGAGTTATTGTAGCGCTTCCAACTTCGAAGAAGATTTGCGCGTCGTCGCCTCTTGTGCTCACCCGAGAAACCTGGCAGCATGTCTGTCACCAGCAAAGTTTTCGTCGTTTCATCCAGCAACACTTCGGCCCACAATCGCTTCTTTGTCGCGCCTTCAGACACATCAATTGTTGGAAGACACTGGAGCTTTTTCAATTGCACCTCAAAAGTTGTAACCACGTGGGTTTGATCCAACGTCGCTGCTCGAGAAAGCGCACTTTCTGCTGAACCACTCTTCTTTCTCTCTGCCGAGGACTTCCGATCCAGTCGATCACTGTGACGACCACGTAACGGGCGCTCTTTGCGCGATGCTTTAACGCCCAGTCCAGCCACCTTCTGGACTTGGACAAACACCGTCGGGAATGCAGAGAAGCGAAATGGCACATAGTCGATCGAATGAAACGGTAGCACAGAATCACCACCCTCAAAGCCGATCGTTACGTTTCCCTTGCCATCTTTTAGAAGCGTTTTCTGCCACACAATCAGCGCCAAGTTGCTGCACTCATTCTTGATCTTGAACGGCACAAAGGTTTCATCTTCTTTTTTCTGCTTATTGATCAGCATATGCTTCCGATGGTTCGCTTCGTATTCAGACAATGATGGTGGCGAGACGTTAGCCGACGGGCTGCTTTCCTCCAAATACACCAAAAAGGAAGGGTCATGAAGCTCAACTGCCACGTTCAGCTGAATTCCCTCGGTCAGCATGCGCCCTGCGTCGTTGTGCTCATCATCCTCATCGCACAGCATGTCCGCGTCTTCAACTTCTTCAATTTGCTTCTGACTCGAGGTTCCTCCATCGAAACACCCAGGAAGACACGGTGGTGCTGGTCTGACTTTCGACTTCACGCGAAGCACGAAATTACCCACTGACGACAGCTCGAATGGGGCGGTCCATTGCGACGAGTTCACAAAAGAGACTGGGTTGTGAGTGTCCTGACGCTTATCAGGTAGCACGAAACAAACCTGAACTCGATGTGGCAATCGTGAATCGCTCCAGTGGAAGATTTTGCTTTCCTTTGGGAGCAGCACAACCACTGCGTTCGGGTCGGTTGAGCGCTCCTGCCGAACATGAATTTCGAACTTGCTGGACGTATTGATAAAATAATATCGCGGAACTAACGTCACAACACGCGATCGCAAAAACTTCTCCGGGCCTTGCTCGATCATCACACCAAACTCATACTGGGTAAAAGTCGACTTCATGTCACTAGGCAATGCTCCAAACTCGGTGATGGTAGACAGCAAGTATCGAGCATCTCGAGACCGGTTGGTTGGTACAAGAATTTGCCCACGTACTCCCACAGCACTGATGTCGAATGGTTCGGATTGCACTTCACGCTCGCCTGCGTCCCCCTTGATGCCGATCTTCATTTTTGATACAACTTGCTTGCTCTCACACGAGAATACCGACAGCGACACAGCGGAAGAGTTATCGTCAGCGTCTTCATTGCCCTCATACAGTCGGCTTGGATGGTTGGATGGGATAAGGTAATCATCTGCAGTATAGAATGCGAGCGACAGTGACGTCCGATCGATCAGCCAGTACTCGGTGAACACTCGGCATACGACTGGGCAGAGCGTGTTTAGAGATCGGGACCGTAGCTTTTCCAGCTGTGTAACCTCAACGCATATAGTAAGTTTATTTGCAATCGTGGGAGCTTCTGCTTCACTGTCATCGCGCATATTCAATTCGATCCGCTCACAAAACGATTGACAGCCGTAAATAAACGCGTCGCTCGACCAACATGAGAATCTTCGCAGCTCGATCTGTGGAAGTGCAAGGCTCAGTCCGACCACTGTCGGTGTTTGCACGACTTCTCCGTTCTTCAAATCTCGCTCCAATATATCCAATTCTGCAAGACAAGCAGTGCTTCCAGACGGCACCTTCCCGTTTGCACCTGAAAAAGAAGTTGCATTTTTTGCCACCCACACGACTTCGGCTTCCGATTTCATGCACACCGTGCGATAGGAGAGTTCGTAGGGCACGAGGTTCTCCAAAACAATTGGTGGTCGTAATGTTATTGTTGTCTCGTGACGTTCCGACTTCCGCAATGCAGTAAGGATCACTTGGAACGGTGGCAATGACACATCGAACGTAGCATCTGCACCATCTTCTACGTCAGTGCTTGGATGGACATCCCAGTAAAAAGTCAACGCTTTTCGTAGTTCAAGAGATCCTACATTCTGACGGCGCTTTGAGCGACCACAACATGTGAAGTCATTTGAACGCAATAGCGATGCGATTGAAAGAGCGTCCGAACGCTGAACCTTTCCGTTGGACAGCAGTGGACGGAATGCGATGCTCCCCGAATCAAGATACTGAATGGGAATATAATGGGCTGCCATACCACCAGGCTCGATTGTCTCCTCCCGCTGATCGTTGTAGATGATTTGGATCGGTATATCATAGAAATTCGTCAGCTGCACCTTCCCTCGAAGCCGCAGCACGAGTGTGCCCTGTTCCGCAACTGTCTCACAAATAATGCTTTCTCCATGCCATGATTCGTGTTGCTTGCCGCTGCTCTCCAGATGAAGATAGCTTCGATTTGAATATCCGATCGGCACAGGAATCGCCTTTGAAGAGGTTATTCCTTGCGAGTGAGACTGCGGCTTTAGCCACAACAAACGACGTAGCGGTGATGTAACACACCCTGCTGGTGCCTCATGTGCTACGATTTCCGTAGCAACTCGCTCCCCGCTTTCGACTCGGATCCACTTCGTATCTGCAGAAGAAACGTCGCTCAGCATTGTTGATAGCCGGCGACGACTCCAAGCGAGGCTGTTGAACATTGCTGTCCCTGCCTTCATGATTTCGTCGTTGGTGTCAGCACCTGGAACATCAGTAGGCATTTCAATTGATCCCGTCGGCCTCCGGGACAAAGACGACGCCCCCCTAGCTGTATTTATTGCAGCGGCAGATGACAAAGGATGCGTTGCCACAACAAATGGAATTCCGGACTGATTATCCACATAGATGAACGGCCCGAGGCGCGATGATAAGGCCTCGTCTGCTGCAGTTACTTCGGTCACCAGTGCAAAGAAGTGCACTAGCACGTTAATCACGTTCCGCGAGACGTTGATATTGAAGTCATCTTTTGCTACAATCATGAAGGCGTTTGCCAACTTGGCACCATCTTGGACGTCAGGCTGCTCCAATAGCTCACGATAAATGTAGTTCTTGGATTCCCATGAATGCGCGGCCGCATTGGTAAACACTTCGGTTCGAGAAGAGCGGAAAAGGCACAGTGGCATACCATCGCAGCGCAGCGCGGCACCAGTAGGAGACACTGATTGCCTCTCTGACATGCAATAGTCGCACAATACACCGCCCATTCCATGATATGCCATATTCATCTCAAAGTCTTCTAGTACGGGTTCCCAAACAGCCAGTTGAGAGTTGTAAGCTTGAATCCCGAAACGCAGACTTGTCAACGCTGTAAATTTGTATTCCAATCTTCCCCTGATGTCTGCATTTAGCGCCGCCACACGGAAATGAAGCAGCGGCAGTAGCATGTTGTGAAAGTCATTTACGATTGTCGCGTTCACACCTGGAAGCGTAAACTCCAATATTTTCAAATTGTCAAGGAACGAGGCATGCGCGAAAAGCGATTTGCGCTTTTTCTTCCCAGATTTTGCCGAGGCCGCTGGGGTCTCGCCCGAAACGTGCGCAGGGTCTGAAGCATCATCCAACGAATCAGGGGCTTCGCTAGCACTATGTACATCATCCGCATCAGGTAGACCGTTTTTCTCGCGCCGTGAGGATTCAGCTCCAGATGTGCCCGATACGATTGATAATGCGAACGGAATGGGTGCGTCGCCAACACCATTGAACATCAGATAACCACCGCCTCGCGCGCTTGTTGCGTCTACTGTGTGGGCACCCTCAGCTTGATGCCCTGATCGAGAGGAGTTGAAATCCGTTTGCTGTCCTGCATCATTTGATGCGCCAAAGGTTTTGCCTTTACTGAACGAGCGATATATCGTGACCTCCTCAAACACGATGAGCTCTCGGTCGTAAATGACACTCTTGTCTGAGTTAAACATTGTGCTTCCATGCTTCCATATCGTGGTCTCGAACACTCCAGCAGACCCTTCAGGGCCTAGGTAACCATTGGCACCAAGCTGATCGTACTTCTGAATCAGAGTGGAATGTGGTAGCTTTGCTGTGTCCTTGCTGGCGGTGGGTGATGCATCAGATGTTTCCTCTTTAGAAAGCAAAGCGTCTTTTGAAGACTTCCCCTCGGTGTTGTCCCCATCTGTAGCGACCACAGCTTCCAAGATTATTCTATCACCGTAGTATACCTCGTCGCCAATCTGCCGTCGACTTTCGGATGCTGGCAATATCCGAAATGCCACACTTTGAACCAGTTGACGCTGCTGTGCTGTGTATGGTAAGACAAGGTACCGCTTGCGCCATGTCGAGTTGTAGAATCCAACCACTGGCCGTGTCTCCAGACGTCCACGGAAACTCGCGGACACCAAGTAGATCAGAGAAGTACCGTAGAGAGCAGCGGTGCACTGCCGCTCACGTTTCCTTGACATAAAGAGTGCGAGGTTCGAACGCGGGGACGACGGAGATTGTCGACGCCCACTCCACGACGTAGTCTCGCTATCCGCGCCCCCACCTGAAAGCGACGATATGGACGAGCCGGACATTGACCGCCGATTCTGGCCCCCATGAGCACTTGACTGACTGGCTGTTGATGGCCTGCGTAGAATATGCTCGAAAGCTGCGAGCATCGTGCAAAAATCCAAATAGCCAAAGCGCAGCTCCATCACGCGGTCGAATGTAGTTTGAAAACGAAGAAAGTGAGAGCGAAGGTCGATTTGGAATACACTCTCCATGCCGATAGGCTTCAAGCAATCAGCAGATGCCGCTGTTGCAGCTTGCTCAGCTGCCCAGATGCTTTCCTCAGACAATCGCGAAGTTGCGTATATATTTTCGAGAGCAACGCAAAACTGCAACTGGTTACGGCTGTGTGCAGGATACTCTTTGCTGATGCCTTCGACTTGCGAGCATTCATCTTCATTTGTTTGGCGGAGATAGTTCAGAATCAATGACGACTCCCATGACAGCACTATTGCTCGAGATTTGAGTTTGTGAGGATCTTCCACAAACAGAAACGCGGATGGGCCTAAGTTCAGCTCCAAACGAATCCGCCGATATGTTGGCGGCACCACCGTTGTTTCATCCAAGTCAGTCCTTCCCTTCTCCTCAGTACCTCGACTACTCACAGAGTTGACGTCTTCTGTACCCCAGCTCGGAGGCGATGTCAAAAACCGAATCAGGTCGTAATGAATGTTGGATGGAATGACCTTAAACCCTGCTACATCAATCACCAACTCAATTCGTTCCTCCACTCCAACTAGCGCAGGAGGCTCCTTTTCGATAGATCTGTCGGTATGCATGCCACGGTTTGCCACCGTCGACGAGATCGACGAGTGGGCAGAAATTTCAGAATCGGTTCGTCTTAGAGAGAGCTCTGAACCGAATAGTCCTACGGAAGCTCTAGACGAGGCGCTCCGGAACCGCGTTCTAGAAGCTTGCAACCTCTTTCCATGCGGGTCGAAACTTACCGTCGATACGTCCACATCAAAGCTTTCGCGCACCAGCTGAAGCTTGATTACTTTCGGCAACCCATTCTTGCACCGCTCAAACACAACAACATCACGGTACGAGGCTGACATTTTCGATTGTACCCGCGAATCTCGAATGTGAACACCTTCCAAGTCAACATCGGCCGTCAGTCTTTGATTGACTAAATCGGCGCGTGCTGACAATACAAAGAGAGCTAGCAGGCATATTGAAGCGTCATTCATTTTGCTCTTCTCGGCCATGTCAAGATCACCACTGCTCGAGGGATGATAGCCGCGCTGCCCTTGCAAGATTTCCATCGTAACTTCAGGAACATGGAGGTTGAGCATGATGTGGCGGTCTGCTATAACTTCTGGAACCCCAGACGCACTCGTTCCGTCGCTTGCTTCGTCACCGTCCTCTACAGCCCTCCCAGACGACGATGAAAGCCCGTCGACATTGCGATGTAAGAAGAATCGGCGAGAAGAAACGCGCGCTGCAACTTTCACTGGTGTTTCAGACTCTGGATAGAAACTGTACCGGGTGCGTTCACGGTAGTTCTGGAAAGGTACTCTCAACACGAACGCGTATTGATCTTGATTGCAAACCAAGCGAACAGGGCTACAACACATGCTCACCTTTATGTCTACGTGTGAGCGGAAATCTACGGACAGTGAGTAGTTCGTAAGTCCTAACAAACTTTGCGTTATGAGCCCACCATTTTCCAAACGCTTCTCCATATCATTGCGTTCCATGAAAATAACTGAAACAATCCGAAGCGCTTTCATGTCCAGTTGCAGCTGCTTCAATGACGAGTTTAAGAGCACTTTTGCCACAACACGATTCTCCATGCCCAGAAAACTATCAGCAATGCCTTTGTTGGATGCCCGGAATGTGTCAAACCGTACTAACAGCGATTCCAATGACATACGATGAGGGGGCATCTCCAACACAGCATCTTCCAGGTGAATATCGACGAGCGGGAACATCGACACAACATCAGGACCCGACAACTTACTCGACGATGCTTGTGATTTCGCATCTTCCTCCCTTTCGTCACCCACCTGGAGTGCTGGACTCCCTTGGATCCCGGCAAGCTGAAAGTCGCCCTCCCAATGTGTATCCGTCTGCTCACGAGACAAGATTGACTGTACTGTCGTCAACAGAACGCCCTTCATCCAGTAGTTACACATATCATCGACGAAACTGTAGAGAAAACGGATCCGCGGCGATTTTAGACGCACAGTGTACCGGCTACTGTAGCCTGGATGCCACGCTTCTTGGATAGTGTCCACACCATAAGACTGCATAGCGCACGAAAACACTGCAGGGACATGATCAAGCAGGTTCAGAATATCGCACTGTGTTGGAACATGACCTACTGCAATATCGCCATCGTATTCACACGTAGCATCGCGAGTATTCCACACTTTATCGTCGCTCCGTTTAGCGGATGGGATTCCATGAGAAACGATCTCACTAAAATGCTGATCCGATTGTGATACATCGTAGATTTTAAATGAGTTCAGGTAGGCAAAAATGCTCATGTAAAGTGGAAACCGCTGTACACAGCAGCAGAATTGCTGTGCAGTCAAACTAGCAAACGCTGATGGCATCCCTTCCGGTCTCTGTTTGTCATCCAAATGAAGATACAATGACAAACCTTCCACATGAAGGCGAGACTGCATCGAGGCTGGCCGATTTTCCTCGACGCTGCCACAGCCGTTATTCACCGTTGCTTGTTGCTCGTCTTCCTTCTTAGGGCTGGCGCCAAGATGGTTGTCTAAGAACGATGATGTCACCCACACACCCAACTTCCTCGAAAACGTATTTTCATTTACCTCATCATCCACCGGCGACAGAACAGTTTGCTCGTCTACGCTGGCAGCTACTTTACTTCTGCCAGGTGTGCTTCCCTCACTGATGCTTCGTAACGACAGAAGGGGTGGGCGCAAAGCCTGTTTTTGAGCACCCCCGTCTTCCTTGCTTTGTCCGAAAAAGAACACGAAGACGTCTGCGAGAGTGTCTTGGTAGACGTCAACCTTCAATACTCGCAAGCTAGCATCGACGGATAGTGCAGTGATAAGCGGATCTTGCCAAACGGAGTCCTTGCCAGAAGACGACGAAAGTGCTGAGTGTCGGACACGCTTCCATAGCTGTTTGTCCTTCAGCATCACAGCGTCGGAAGCGATACCTGTGATTGCCACATGGATCAGCTGTTCCGACGAAGAGGGAGGTAGAACAGGTTCCTCCGCTGACTTTCGTTCTGGATCCGTTACTACTTCGTGGTTTCCCGATTTCATGAGAAACCGCTTTGTTTCCACCACTTTTGACGACGAAGACGACCTCGAGAGAAGAATGTCCTCCACCAAGAGTGTACCAAGTGCAAAGTCTAGCCTTCTATCGTAAGACCGTACCTGCAATCGTGTGCTTATATCGATTGCAAGTACTCGCACGATTTTCCCGGAGCCATTTCCTCGATCGCGGACTTGCAACGTGAGAATTATCTTACCTATTCCGAACTGAAGCTGACAAACCACACGTTTCCACAGCTTGAGCAAGTCGTTGTCGTCGATTTCCTTTTCTCTAAATGTCTTTTGTCGCTCGAGTTGAAAATTTCTTGCAAGTCCGTGTGCCAAACCTGTGTAAGGACTGTTGTCGGACGCAGTAGTGAATCTTCCACACGAATTGTTGTTGGACAAATCGGCATCCTCGGGCCTGATGTAAGAGAGAGCTTTCCGCATGAGTGTCGGCTTGCTGCATCGTGAAGCAGCTGTTGCTAGATACCCAGTGCCGCGGGCGGGGTGGTCTGTAGTGTCGGCGGCGGCGGTCACATTTCTTCCCATGCGGCGCTTAGCATAAAGTGAGAGGTTCTCCCCAAACGAATGCAGTAGCTGCACTAAGGAGCGGAAACTTGTCGCGGATAAATTCAGCTTGACTTGGTCGACTCCACCAGATAGCTTTAGAAGAGGAATGCTTGGGTCGTCTGGCGTGACGCTCATGTAAAAGTTGAACGTCAGAGACGTCTTTTCCAGCAAGTATTGCCACGCAGACTTCTTGCGAGAGTGGATTCGAGATAGAAACACCCTGTTACCCCCACTGCTGTTCTCACCATCAATAATTTGTACTTCAATGCCAGAAACGCTGATCTCGAGAACGTCATACAGGCTTTCCTCCGACGGGGCCAAAGCAGCTTTCTGGCTCGCGTTTGTTCCCATCTTGTAGTCACCCAGCTCTTTCGGTATTCTGCTTCCGTTTATGACGTCGCCCGGGTGTTTCGTTTGTGCCTGCAAATGACCAAGAAAAACCAACAGACTCACCTCGTCACTATTTGAAACTCCAGTGTCCGGCAATGTTGCCTGAATAATGTTGATCAGAGGAGAAATCACGTCCAGGCGCACTTCAACCATCGTCCTCCGGGCCAGTGCATCCCGCAGCTGAGCAGCACTAGAACGTTGCAAACTTTGCGCTTTTTTCCACGCACTGTGCTCAAGTCCGGATAGATCTACGTTCACTGGGCGAGAAAACACGGCCACCACATCCAGCAGGAACATCAAATTCACGTTGCATCGAATTGGCTGTGTCACGAGAGACACAATAAGTAGGTGAGCAGGCAGTGCGACATCGCTTGTGATCTGCACGTCATCTTCGTTGGCATTCATTGCGTCTGATGCCATTCCAGTGTTACACTGGCGCACGGATTCAATACTAAGCTGCACCAAAGGTAGCTCTTTCTCACAATGGCGAAGTCGCACGCTACTCATTTGATCCTGCACTCCGACTGGATGGTATTCTACTACCTCGTTGATATCCATCCGCTGGAGGAAAAAGCCTTTTCCAGACAAACTCGTAGATCGCTTTCCTGGTGACGACTCGTCGTGAATTGGCAGCCTAGGGCCCTGGCAAAACAAAGCGTCGCGTAATTGAAGGCCCAATTCTAAACTTGACGGTCTTACCAAGAACTGGATCTCGACGTCATCTAGCGAAGCCGTCAGGCACGATGATGAGGGTGTCTCCACTTTGGTCGATCCTTTTTGACTACATGCATCGGTGTGGGCATTCTCAAGGCTGAGCTCGAAGCTGGCCCGATGTAGGGCAAGTTGAAAGCGATACAAGATATGCTGGTGGTTCTGTAGATACTGCTTCTCTCGTCCAGCCACATCTTCGATCTCGTTGCTGCTCGAATCTATGCTCTCCTTCTTTCCGTCAGGATGAAAATCGATCGCTTCGTAAAGATCGTTAGCGTCTTGTTCACTCCATTTCACATCCTCCGCCCTCACCCCTCCAGCACCATGAGTGCCTGACTCATGTGCTGCTCCTCCGGCACCTGTAAGCCATGTGGCATACGACCAAAGACGCGACCCAGTGGAAACTTCAGAATCTAGATGGAGATGCCCACCACCCTTGTGATTGTTTTCGCCCTTGCTCTGTAGAATCTGCTTCTCATTTTCCTTGTCGGCGATTTCCTTTCGTACAGTTCGACGAAGCTTGATCAATTCTTGAACATCCATAACATATTCCAGGTCGTCTAGCTCGCTGCGTGCCATTTCTTTGGACATCAAGCGCACGTCCATCGGAACGAGTGTGGCTGCAGCAGTCGCACTGTGTTCCACTAAAATGCACAATGCCTTGTACCGGTCTTTTTGCCGTTGCTTCTTTTCTAGTGCTTCCCAATCCACGTGAGCTAAACGCTCCCGGACGTCCAGCAACACAGCATTGATCGCATATCTCCACCATGCTCTCGGGTTGTTTCTCACACGAATTCGATCCGGACGCAACGCGAGGTACCGAGTTTGACGACGCATTACAGTGAAAAACGAAATGAAGGAGAGTGCACTCAGGTACTGCTGACGGTGCAGCGAAGTATTGATCTGATCGATACTAGCTTGGGCATCAATGTACGTACTCTTTTCTTCCATCACGTGAACGACCGCCTCACGATATTTGACAATACACTGCTCAACGCGATTCACCTCTTCCAAAGACCATTGCATGCAGCTTGACAGAGCTCTTTTGAAATGTAACACCGATGGAATCTCGTCTTCCTCTTCCGTAAGATCTCTTGCCACCGACCACGCTTCCGAGAACACAAAACCCAGCGTATACTTGCGTTCTCCCGCCAACTTTGGCATGGTCTTCAAAAAGTCGTTCCACGCGTCATCGCCAATGGCATCAATGGTTTCCACCATCCATGACGTCCCGATTCTCGACAGTACACGCTCACTCAGCTCTTGATGTGTTATGGGCAACTTCGCATCACCGTCGTTCACAGTCAGTTTCATTGAAACCGTTAGCGGGTGCACGAGGTAGTCAATCGATTTGAAGAGCGCTGGTCCCGCCGTGTCTTGCGGTCCGCTCTTTTTTGCCAGAGGAGGCAGCACTGGCTCCACCACTTGCGACTTGTTTTTCTTCTTTATCGGCTCAAAATTACTCGTCATCAACGCAGCAAATGCCTCCGCATCACTCAACGCTGTTTCAGGCACTGGCACCAACGGCAAGGACCAGTAGATGCCAAACTTGTTGACGTCCACCTTTTTTCGAATGAACGACATGCCGTGCTGCAGGGAAGCGCCCCGACCAACCATCGTGTAGTTCCAGCCCTCGTCCGCCGACTTGATGATGATGGATTCCAGCGTCATACCTACGGCGTAGGGGCATTTGGGATCCGACACTGCGTCTTCCATCCTCACATGCAGATGCTGCACGTGCACCTGCACGTTGTCCAGTGCCTTGACCAGCAGCTTACAAAGAAAGCTCTGCGTCCAGCTCTGGCCCACAGCCGTCTGCGTACTGTTTTGTTCATTGAACTCCGTCGCCTTCTCGACAGCGTCAATGGCCGCACGTTTGCGCTGCAGCTTCTGCTGTTTCTTCCTCGCTGCGCGTCGCAGCTCTTCTGGTGTCACTTCCGCAGCGTCAGACGCCGCGCGGTCGTCCGCACAGACCTCAAGTAGCAGACTCATGTCCTGTATATCGACGCGAATGGGTTGGCTGGCCAAGTTTGTCCACGGAAGGTCGATGCGGAGCTGTCGAAGAGTCCCTTTGACGAGTCGCATCTGCTTTGGCAGTGGAAACGCGTCCGGCTGGAGCTCCACGGTCTCGACCTCGATTTTGCCATTCCATACGCTGATCTGGAGAGCTTTGGGGTCAATGTTCTTGACGTAGCTGCCCAGCACAGCGTCCAGGACCACGTGCACGTAGCGCTGGAGGAACATGACGGGGTCCCCCGTTCGCGCCCCGACCAAAAGATGCACTTCAACGAAATGGATGGATGTTAAAACATTGCCATTTCGTAGGGTTGCTTGTACTTTTCGTTTCAACAGTTGGTTAGTTTCAACAGTTAGTAAGTTTTAACAAATAGTTCGTGAATTCGACTTTGATGTCTATGTAACGAAGTGGCAACCGAGTAGTCGCAGATACTGGACGTGTTGTGTGGATAACACCGGATACTATTGCTGTGCGGTAAGACGGGTACATGCAGCTCTGAGTGGCGCAGGTAGGCATTCGAACGCAGCCCGCGGCGACTCAGCTTTCTGCTGGCTGTCGTTATACCCACTAAACTGATAAAAAAACAAGTGTCTGCGCCTCGGTCGATTACTACTACTACTACTACTACTACTACTACTACTACTACTACTACTACTACTACTACTACTACTACTACTACTACTACTACTACTACTACTACTACTACTACTACTACTACTACTACTACTACTACTACTACTACTACTACTACTACTACTACTACTACTACTACTACTACTACTACTACTACTACTACTACTACTACTACTACTACTACTACTACTACTACTACTACTACTACTACTACTACTACTACTACTACTACTACTACTACTACTACTACTACTACTGCTACTTAATTTAGAACTTTTTTTCATATCATCACGATTAACATAATTTAGCTACAACAATAATTGTACGATGTCATTTCTTCTTTTCTTCAAACTTGTACCTACTAATTCGTCTGTGATACCATATTTCATCACAGCCTGTCGGCCGAACAGTCTCATACATATGTTAAAGACGGAGCTCTGTGGACGTTCAAATATAGTGCTGATGTGGAGGAGTTTCACGGTTTTCGTTTTACATGTTAGCATGAGCAAGATGTTTGAAAGGTCCTGGGCCAGGATACAAGCGCCGGTAAAGGTAACTCGTCGTGGCGAACTTCGAATGCGGTCGAGTGCCGGCTAGACTCGTGACGAAACGTTTTAATACAAGCATGTATTGCACTTCGTTGACTGCATTTTCCGCCGACCTGTGTTTACGTAATGCGATAACCCTCAGCTAGGGCGTACTACAGTATCGTATGTCAAAGTGCTCTACAAAGAATTGGTCAGATAGTCGCGGAATACTGCCGCATTGCGCTCTTTCCAGAGGAACACTTAAAACGGGACATAATTTTTTAGATGCACCGGAAAGTGCCCTCGACTTTATTTATAATCTTCTTCGAAACGGTGCTGCAAACGCTGGCGCATATGTTGCGACATAGGTGGTGCCTGAAGATTGGCACAATAAATTTCGGCGGTCCAAATCTTCCCAATTCCTCCCCGGTCCAGCGACTAATAAGTTGTCGCTAACAAGATTGCGCATTTTAGTGCTTCCAGAAAATATGGTACACCGTGTTCTTCTAGCCCTTGTAAGAATCAAGCTTCTGCAGCTTCTGTCTGAGTGAGGGGCGCCTAACATGGTGACGATTCAGCTGATTGGTCGCAAGTCGATAGCAGGTCCAAATCTGATACTCAGCAAGAATGACCACGTGTTTTCAGAACTGGAAGGGATGTTGTTGCGCAGCCGCTGCAAGCAACGCATCCGATCGCGTTTGATCTACGAAAAGGAATTGCGAGGTCTGAATTGCCAGACTAAGCTGCCGTTTACGATGCTCATATGAATGCCGGAGAAGCGCGTTACCAATCCGGACAATCTTTACGGTCTCTGGTACACTTTAGAGGAACTTATGGAGATGCAAGTGAGAGAGAAAATATACCCACGCGAGATTTGTTGCCGCCATAAAGCCGACTCACTCGCTGAAGAATGCTATTCATCCGGAAAATTGCCACGAAGAAATCACTGGAGGCCGCCGTCATCGAGACGAAGCTGGAGTGAGGGGTGGGCTGAATGGAGGATGCGGTTGGGCATGCCCCACCATTAAGATGTCGTGAATCCGTTTCTAATAGTAACGGCGTAAAGTACTTATGGACTTGTCCGGAATTCGTGTGCGCCAGTCTAGTGCATGTGTCACTCACTGCATACTTAATGGCCACTTTGATTGGAGCAAGGTCACTCCGCTCGCCTAGGCCGATGTAACGAAGGAACGTGCATCAATCTTATGCCGTCTGACTTCTATATTAGAGGCATGTTGCCAAAAATATTGCGAATAAATCTGGGATATTTATATGCTTGCCAAAGCCGAAATGTCGTAGATAGCCGCCGTAAAGAGGACTGCCGAAAAATCGATAGCGTTAAGTATCGCACCCAATTATGCACACGTATCTCCATATTTGTAGCTCTTGGAAGCCGAAGCCTTGAGCGTCAAATGCGCTGAGCCTCATTACAATTGATAACATTTCCATTGCCCATTTCATGCCCCAAGTAATAGGTAGTCTCCGCCAAGGCAACAGCAAAATCACACGATACCGCTCAAGATGCACCGCGGATTTTGGAACTCAACCTGCTTTTCGTCAATTGCGCATGGAGGCCGTTGAGCTTTAGGAGCGGTGGACCAAGCGTAGCACTGTCTATATTGGTCCAACGCTCGAGAAAATGAGTCGAGTTGGGATAAAAAGCCGAAAACATATGCATGACGCTCGTAGCTTCCGGTACGGAAAGCCCGCTGAGACCCAAACCTTGTTAAATTGCCAAACCCTGCAATGTTACCACCAGTAGGAGCAGCAATGGTCCATATGACAACCCTAACAAATTGCCGACTGGACTGCAGAAAAGTTTGATCGTATATCTTTCACGAACACCTAATGGATGTTGCAAGAGGCATGCACTGAATGAAATGGACAACGTACTCGTCAATATGGAAGTGTCGTTAAGCTGCACATAGAAAGTCCCTGTCCACTGTATCGTAAGCTTCGCAAAGCTCGAGCAACAAGATGTATAATTTAAGCTGGCCTGTAGATCCACTTTGTCGCTAGCCGATGCTAGCTGAAAAGGCACTATAGCAACTAACTTGAGCATTTGACTACCCCGTACGATCCCTGCTGCGAATCTATTCATCGAAATCGGCAGAACCCGATTTAGCGCGTAGCCAAAACCTTCACAAGGGTTTGACACTAGCTTAAAGAAAAAATAGGCGATAATCGAAAGCATCCGCCGAATCCCTCTTCTAACGAAGCAAAATGAAACTGCCTTCGAAAAGGATGGCGGCATAGGTGGACCCGTCATTCTTCATTGCTCACCGCCACCAGAGAGAGCACAATGAATACTAAGGTGTACGAGTATAAGTCATTGTTAAGGCCGTCAAGACCGGCTCTTTTGTGTCAGCCAAGCTATGAAATGGCCAGTACAACCTCGGCTTGTAACGGGGTGTCACCGTTATACGTCCTGCTATAAGTGATATAGCAGATCCTCACATAATTAGTGATGCATAATCATACATTAACATGCAGGTATACGTTCTGACCAAGATAGACGTCACGACGCGTCATATCCCCCCATTTGCTGGTAAGTCAATTCATGACCCATTATCGTCCAATCGGGTATGAACTTATGGAAATGACTCCCTTGCGTTTGGGAACTACTCATACTTCGACCAAATGATAAATTATTATAAATCAGTGTTGCATTTGACTTAAGCACGCGTTAGTGAACGCGTACCCCTTACGCTTCCTCATGGAACCTATCGTATGTGCAAAGGTAGCGGGCTCTTAGCCCGTTACACGGCTTCAGTAAGTTTAGGAATGCGGCCGGGATGGTGACAAAGACGCGCGTTGCGTCCTGTCCCGCAGGCAGATCCTATGTGTGATGTACGCTGCCAAACAGCGGCAGTCATTTGAAGGAAAATTGGTGGCGACATCTTAATTTTGAGAAAATGCAGGGCCGTGCAGATTGGCAGTCCTGGACACTGTTTAGTACCGTTCCCATTTTAAACCTCTTTTTAGTACCACCGAAGGCGAGCAATGGTACGTTAGAGGCGCTTTCCAAGCCAGACCGGGTGATCCAGTCGGAGAATATTCATGTTCCCTGTCTTAAACTTCCTATACTCTGTCTGTCTGCGACTCCTGAATGCAAACATCAACTGCCGTTCACCCAAAGAATGAGAGGTCCGATGCTGTCCACGAAGATGATGCTCCACTTCTTAAATTTCTGACAAATACGGTGATGTGCGTACGACCACCCATAGAACTTGAGCAGCCTAGCTGTGGGGAACGTAAAACGATCGGTCTGGTTCGCGACGTCGCCCTACCAATACGTAAAATGGCCCACAGTTCCTTCGGCCTCCTCTCCCCTTGCGCGGTTTCGCAGCACACTGGTACTTTTCCAATTATTATGACCAAGAAGCTCTCGAGCGTCTACATTACATGTGGCAGATATGTGACGAACCAGACACCAGCAAAGGAATCAAATCGCAATTACATCTCCGAGCACAGCGTCGTTGTTGCGAGGTACGTTCGACCAAGATAAACGAGAATATAACTCCTTATGTTCTGTCCGAAGTGGAGGGGCGTACAATAAAAATAGGTCTGATTCGTCAATTGAAATCGCTATTGCTCGTGTATTCCAGAGGTCCCGTTCCCAGATCGATGCACCTAGGGCAGACTGAGGGTTCAGTAAAAAGTACTAAGTCTCACCAGCTTGCAAAGACTCCGTAATCCAGTATGATAAAGAAGGGTAGATGGGGTCTGCTTGCTACCCCCCTCGTGCTGCCTACTAATGACCCAGGACCTTGTCTTGACCCGAGTTAGCAAGTGGTTTCCTTGAGATACCACGCCAAAGGTCGCGCCCTTAGAGGTAGATGACGCTAAGCCGTCATCTACTGCATGCCCGCTTATTTGAAAACCCACCACACGTTCTGAAAGTATGATATCGAGGCCCCTCGCGATGCAGAACGGTACGCCCTTCCCGCGGCTAGACCACTCCGCAAACAAGGCAGAAAGTATAAACACGTCCGCCTCCGTCAGATCCGTGCCACGTAAAAGCGCTACCAGATTAATCGTTAAGAGCCCCTTTCTGATAAAAACGG